TAATAATATGTAATAACATTTATCATTGAAATAAATATTATTATAGCATAGATATAAGATTTTATTTTATTTTTTTAAGTACAGAAATAAGATCTCTTATACACCGTTTGTCAGTACATTATATAGCATCTCTATTGGTTTGGTCTCTTATAAGCAACTCTTGTGTCATATCATCTTTTTATTTTATAGATTGTTTAAATTTTAACACTGAAAATTTTATAAATAATTTTATTAAAATTTAAGTAACTTATAAAATAAAAAAGAATTAATATAATATAATATGACACAAAGAATTATTTATAAGCAACCTCGAATACAGATATTTTGCCTATCATTAAAGTTACATTTATGAGTAATAAATAGAGGAAGGGACTTGGAAATGAAACTTGAGACAACTAGGCATTATTAAGTCGTGATTGCAATCAAAGCAATATCCACCAATAGTTAATTTGCATATACGTGGGATCATTTTCTCCCTTAAATTAAATTGTTTTATGTGTCAGATTACTTCCCACATCTAATTTCGCTCATGTAATTAAAGTCTGGTCTAAAATTCTATACTAATTACTAGGATAATTAAATTCGGTGTCTATACTTCTTCATTCTACACTTAATAATTGCACATATATATTAAACTAATTGACATTAGTTATTTTAATAATTGTTGTGTTAGTTATCAAATTTTAATATATCGAATTTAAGTTTTAAATTTGATGAAAAAATATCATTATAAAAAATAATTTTAATGCAATAAGTCGTGAGAAATTAATCTCGACAAAAAAATATAACTGTCATTATTATAATAAAAAAATTGCACATAAATATAAAAATATTAAAATATAATTTTAAATATATAAGATAAAAATTAATTTTTATCTATGTAGTTACTTTCCCTAAAATCATGTGATATTTTTAAAATTATAATTAATCTCATTTTATCATATTTTGACCACCAAATAGATTTTTAAGATTTTGGCGCAAGACTTAAAAAATAAAATTAATACATCTAATTTTACAAAATAAATTATATAATTTTTTTATATATTTTTAAACATTTTAGATTCTCATCAATAATTAAATAATGTATTAATAGTATTTGAAGATATAATAAATAAATAATATTTAATATTATATTAATATCATAAAATGACAATTAAATATAAAAAAAATAGCTGAAACTTAAAAAAAAAATAGATGAAAAAAGCATTTATTAGCACAAATTACCATAAAAAAACCTACTAATTCTTTTAATATAAATGTGAAGTGCGTTTTTTCTATTAATATATACTATTTTTTTATTTTTTCATTGTTATTTTTCTAAAATTAATAATTTATTAATTTTTTTTTCACTTTTATCTTTAATAATTAAAGTGTGTTTACTGGATAATATATTTATTTATTTTTAATATATCTATTTATTTTCCAACAAGCTAAAAAATATAACAGAAAAATAAATAATAAATATTTTAAAAATTAAAATATCAATCATTTTCTTAATTCTTGTATATAATTTTAAAAGTCAAACAATATAAAACGGAGAGAGTATTTATCTTTGTCTTTATCAAAATGTATACTTTTAAATTAAAGAAATAGGAAAGCAGAGAAAAAAAATGGTTGAATTCATAAAACAGTTATAAGTACTGATATAATGAAACAAAAAAACAACTCTAAGTGTTTGTTTAAATAAATAATAACTTTGTATTCAAATAAAGAATATATAACAAAAAAATAATTTGAATACAAAGTTATTCTTGATTTGAAGAAAATAAGTTGTATTAGTATAAAGAATAACTTTGTATTCAAATTATGATTTAAAATTATAAATACTAAATATAAACGTATGAGTGAATGAATTTTAAAAGAATATTCTGGATTACTAACCATAAAAATTATTCTAACAAAGAAATTCCGATTCAATGGCTTTGATCTTAGAGGTTGTTGAAATGGACGGTTCTAGTTTTGCCGCAGCTAACATATCAGCAGTCGGTAAGTAGGACACATTCTAGAAACTGCTTTGAAAAATGTGAAACAGCTGTACTTGCCATAAGCTATTTATATAATTGCTCACTCTCTATAGAAAAGACTCAAAACACAAATGAATGACACTGTACCCTATACTCAACGCCCCAAGCTTGTTTTCAGTAAAATTTTCAATAATATTTTTAAACTTTTTTCAAAGTTTATTTACAATTATTAAGAATTTTAAGTCGTTAATAAATATACAACAATACTATAATTAAGAGTATCTCAAATGGAAACAACTCATTTGAGTTGCTTCATGCATTGAAAAATAAAAAAAATGATTTCCAGTATGTCATATTAGCATTAAACAACTCAAACACAAATTTACTTCAATGATAAGAAACTTTAAGCAATTCAATTTTTATAATTTTTTTTCTAATCATTTATGAACCAAATTTAAATTTTTATTAAAAAGGATAATTGCACTTCAATGAAATAAAATAAATTACGAGAAAAAATACACAATAAGTAGATATTAAAAATCAAATAAAACAATAGTAAATACATAAACATTATACGAAATTAATTTTCTTCATTATTATTTCTGAAATGTTCCTAAATATGTTCAATAAGATCTGCTTGAAATCTGGTAAGGAACGGTTACTTGAAGAAGCAATTTTTTCTCTTCTTCAAACAACTCATGTTGCCACGTTAGAGTCCTCCAATGACAAAAAATCGGGACTTGAGTTGTTTCATGGGACAAGTAACTCCATTAGAATTGCTCTAATAAATCTCATCTTCAGTTATTTTAAATAAGTTAAATAAAGTTTATAAATAGGTGTAAAATAATAACAATTTTATAATTAATTTTATTTATTATAAATGATGCAACTTGAAATCACCTTTTATAAAATATTATGAAATATATAAAAGAAAAAAGTGATAATTAATATTATATTAAAAAATTAACATAACACTTATTTTAGAAATGTGATACTCATTATAAAAAAAATTAAAGTTGTAATTCAATACTCATTTTAACCCCTCCATTAAGTAGAATAAGTTTTTTTTAATACATAAAATAAATATCAAGTGACATAATTGTGATCCATATATAACATATAAGTGAACATGTCATGTAGATGTGACACATGACATAAGAGTTTCAGAGTTTCACTCCCACATAAGTGTAATATAATATCATTTTATTTCTTAAAATCCAAATATGATGTTACTTTAATCCTTAAAATGGTAATCAAATGTCACTTAAATAGTTAAATATTTATTTTTTATTTTACACACTAAAATAAATAATTAAATTAATATTATAAATAAAATTAACATATCCAAATCATGTTATAAAATTAGCATTTAACGTTGTATTTTTATTTTAAATACATTATATTTCTTCTTTTAATTGTCATTTTTTATCCTCTCTTATTCATTTTTTTTTCAAAATACATATATAAATGATATAAAAAAAAGTTCCTAGCTTCTCTATATGTTATTATATTTTCATAATTAATTCACTCATTAATTATTTCTTATTTTTCTTATTACTTCTATTTCTTTAAAATTGTAGAGTTTACTATATTATTTGATGAGGAGTTTACGATATTCCAATTTTGATTTCAATAATTGTAAAATAAAATTAAACTAAAAAATAGTATTGTTATAGGAAGACTAATATATCTGACAACTTACTATAAGAATAGAAGCTTAGCTTGAAGAAGATGTGTTAAAGAAACAATCAAACTATAATTTATTACTTGTTAAAAGTTTAACATAGAAATTAAATCTTTGTTTTTTATTTATACATTATAAAAAATCTAAAATATATAAAAATAGATGATTAATAAAGAAAAAATTCAATACAAGGATAAATTTTGAGAATCACTTATATGTAGTATGTTGTTAAATATATTAATCTTCCTATAAACTCTATAACTTTTAGGCAGTAAAACTAATAAACATTTTTTAATTTAAATGGAGGAGATTAAGAAATAATTAATAAGTCAAATAATTATGAAAATAAAATAAAAATAGAGGAATTGTGAACTTCTTTATTTATGTATTTTAAAAATAAAATGAATAAAAGAAGATCGAATTCCCAATTAGAAAGGAAGATATAACATACTGAAAAAAAAAATACAATGTTAACTATTTATTTTATGATATTATTATTTTAATATATATTTTTTCTATTCACAATATTAATTGAATTAGTTTTTTTACTTTAAAACTATAAAAGTCACATTTAATTAATTAAAATAAAATTATAAAATTTAGAAATCAAAATAACATCAGGTTTCAATTTCAAAACCTAATATAACATCCCCTTATAATTTTAAAGACTAAAAGGACATCTCAATTTCATTATATTCATTTGACATACGAAACCCATATACCACGTAAAACCACATAACACAACACATGATGTGCATTATTTACTTGTGTACCAAGTATCAATCAAGTGTATCTTATGTAACAGCTACCGTGTCCAATAGACACTTTTTTTTTCTCCTAGAAAGAGACATTACTTAACGAAAGAACTCAATGACGCTTTACGAATTTGGAAACATTTTTTAAATTTCATTACTACTCATGAATTAAAGTGACAAATGACAATTTCAGATCCTGAATCAGCCCTTTTTTCTATTAGCAAATGTCCGAAGAAAAACCAGGCACGAGTCGAGAGCAGTTAAGTTTTGCTCACGCAGGCCCAACTAAATGAAGAATTTTAGACTGGTTCACCCTGTAATTTTGAATTTCGTGCCTATTTTGTGCAACTGGAATACAAAGAAATGGTTTCTTGATTTTAAAATAAATATATATAATATAAATTATTTTTGTAAAATAGGTTAAACCAAACACATTTTAAGATACTTTGAAAAGCTTCGAACCCGGTCGTCATAGTTGGTAGTATATACACTACAAAGAAAATGTGAGAAAACAACGCGCAGATTTAAAACAAATCTTAGTGAAATTTATACTTGAGTATTGAGAAACACTTTTAAGCCACGAACCAAGCTTATAGCTGAAGAAAAAAGATCTGAAGGGTATGTAATTAATAATTGGTCATTTGAAAAACTATCACACTCAACAATAAAGTTCAATTTTGTTATTTCAGCCTATGCGCACATAAAGCTTGAAAGTCGTATCGATGTTTACATATTTCACCAGTTCAACACCAGATACCAACAGTAACGTACAAGGCATATAGACAGACAATTTAGGTCTCCAATACTCAACCACAGCAGGAACCGCAGGCAGGTAGTGAATCTGAAAGTTCAATGGAATAAAAACAACACCCCAAAACAGAATAAATCATCAGCAAACGAAAGGCAGAATATATATCTGAATAACTAAAGATTAAAAGCTACGTAGACACCATAAACTTACTATGGTCACGTCCCCTTATACTATCTAGCCCACGAACATTGTCAAGACCCCCACGAGGAGGGCCTCGTGGACCACCACCATATGGTCCTCCACCACCGCCGCCACCGCCAGGACCTCCTCCAGGAGCACCCCCATCCCATTTCTTGCCAACCGATCCTTTTCTGTAGGCATCTGACTTTTCCATCTGAAGATGAAACATCATGAGCATACATCAATATTCATTATTCAATACAATGACCATATATTCCTCAATTTCTATACTATGAATCAAGAAACAGGTAAATATTACCGAGAACATTGTTGCAAAAAACACGCTTATGAAGTTAACAATGGCCCAGAAAAAATCAGTGATTGTTTTAAGCCGCCATATTGATCTCTTTGATTTAACAACACCTGCACAAAAATGCATCAAGCTCCAGTTAAGAATCAATATCAAGACACAATCATTTCAGTGTCGAGAAAGAAATCATCCAGGACCTTGTTTGAATAAACTTCATAATAAACACTTATACAATAAGAAAATAAATAACAAAATGAATCAAAATTCTGCAAGTTAAAATAAAATTATGCATTTCAAGAGTGAGCAACTCACTTTGGAACAGAAGTAATCTCATTTTTTTTTTTTAAAGTAATCTCATTCATTGATGAGAAAAACAACAGTCAATATTACGTACACATGCATAACAAATCAAGAATGTACTGGAAAAATAGTAGTTGATTTTTCATCAATGATTAAGATTACATACTTTATTTATCTATACTCAATTTAGAGGAGCCAAATCCACTTTTAGACAAGTTAGCTTTGGAAGCATCTATAAAACTCGAAGAGCATAAATTGATTTTAACTTATAGAAGTTTAATTCATTTTACATTTTAATTTTATTTTTCTATAAGGACTTATTGACAAGTTTATCAAATCATGCACGTGGTGAAATATTAATAGTTGATTTTTTCATCATGATTAATACTACTCTACTCAATTTAGAGGAGCCAAATCCACTTTTGGAAAAGTTATATTAAAAAGCTTCTACAAAAGTTGAAATGCATAAATTGAATTTAACTTATAGCAATTTATATTTATTTTATCTTTTTATTTTCTTTTTCTATAAGTACTTATTGAGAATTTTATCCAAGCAAGGCCTATAGAAAATCTCTTTTGGACCCATTCATTACATAGGCTAGAAAACTGTCCACACATGAAAAAGCAGTACATGTTCCAAAAATTTAGTTTTAAAGGCACCACAGCATAATTAATAGCCTCAAGTAGTATTTGGCCCAACTTATTTTGGGTTGTTCTCCTTAAAAGAAAAGGTTAGACAAACAGAATTATAAGAAGAGAAACTTTGAAAAGAAAAAAAAAATTAATGGAATAAACTTTAAATTTTTAGAAAAGCTAGTTATAGGAATTCTGGTTTTTACTCCTTTTCCTTTTGTATTTCATGTAATCCAAAAACACACCAACCAAGAAATTTTAAGCAGCTTTTAAGCTTAAAAAAATTTAGTTAACAAACAACTTTTAACCTTTTATTTAACTTCAATTTTAAGATAGCGTTTAAGCTCCAAAAAAAAAATCAGAAGCTTTCACTACGAAATGACCCCTTGAAGAGTATCATAACTGATTTAAATAGTTGGTGAATACATCCCCATTTTTACATCCTAGGTACAAAATAGGGAATCTCTCTAAATGGTTATATATTGGAGGGGAATAGAGAAGCTGAAAATACAATATGAATAAAGTTACCACTAAACTCCTCTTTCAAGTGTATCAATAAATTCCAACCACAACTAATTATCAAGCAATTACTTTTGCAGTCACAGACATTTAGGCTAATTATCTTATGCTCTTAAACGAACAACTAATGGAATAGCCAAATGCACGAAAACAATGGCTAAAACAAAAAAGTAAAGTAAAAATTGATATAATAGAAAATATGAAGATTTCAGCTGTCTATGTACTATCCATATTTAGGTCATCACTTTCCAGCATTAAAAAGGGGAATGTCAGCCAAAATGAGAAAGGGAGGACCAAAAACTATCATACAGAAATTAAAAAAAAAAAAAATAAATAAAATAAATATGTACAAGCAAGAAATGGGAAATAAGTCAATAACAATATCTCAATATTTCACCTATAAATTATAACCTTAAAGATAAGTACCCCAGTGCAAAAGAAAATTGTGCTTCATACCTAGTCTATATTTATGTTATTATACATACTATAGAAAAGTCATTCAATAATTTGATAACACATTTTGCTTTCCCTCCAAACCCAACATAATTGTGTCGCTTACTCTTTTAGAATTACAAAAGACTCTGACAGAACATCCCCAAATTTACTCCAACACTTTTCTAAACAACAAATGTATAAATGAAAATGAGAAGATAAGGAATCAATATTCGCAGCAGAAAAAGTATTAACAGACAAAAGACAAGCCCGTGGTTAATGGCTCACCAATGCCCCTGAAAGAAACCAAAAGAAATTGATCGAAATTGAAATGACACAACCCTGATTCACCAAATAACCTCCTCTAAATGGTAGTAACTGGTATTTACTCCAGCACATCCACTACTTAGTCTTCATTATAACAACAAACCCTTTACTCTGCATTATTGACGTTACTGTTGCATTGGAGCCAAGTAACGTACAACAAAGAAGATACTGACCTTAAAAGAGAGTTTTAAACTTGAAAAGTTTCCAGTAAGTCTTTACATGTCTTTCAAGTTACTGGTATATCAATCATCAATTGAAAATGAATACACTACTCACAAGTCACAACCCTTTTAAAGTTAAAATACGGTTGCATGAAAACGAGAACAGTACTGGTACCCAGAACAGATACAAAATCCAGCAACTTTTTAAAATTTAAGGTGCGGGTATATTGAAAAATATAAATTACTTGTAGATTACGGTGAAAAATCTATAACAGAATAAGCTAGCAGACTTGTATCTCACATCTCACAAGCGGGGATGACTGGTTTGATTAAATACAGAAATATACACATACCTAACCATACCTTAAAATACACCTAGTCTCATTAGAGTCACACTCAAGCCGCATACAAGTGTTTGAAAAAATAATTTTGAGAACTAATCAAGTGTGTACACGGCGTGTGTCGCTGATAAGAGTTTTATCAACAAGGAGTCAAGTTTTCCAATTGTCTTGATAAGACGATATTTAATTTTATCCATTACAGAAGGCGATGTTCCTAATGTAAATTTTGAGATGAATAAAATCAGTCCCGTTCGAGAATAATATGTCGTAAATTTCCACGCAGATTAAGACCCCTTTGCTCGATATCAACAAAATTAGTTGTTTCAAGAATTATGACACAAAACTGGAGAATCCGGAGACACCGGGATAAAATACGAGATTGTTAGCGATCATCGAAAGTTGGGAATTCCGAAGTTTCAGAATTCGGAAATTTGTCTTAAAAACTAAAATAGGATTTAAAAATAAAATGGATCTGAAAGGACAGATAATAGGTTCTGTAAATCCCAAGTCCAGCGATGATGAATCAGAACCTAAACCTAAGCAATAAGAAAGGAAAATTGATACTATGAACGAGAATTGAGAAAAGGAAGATACCTCGTTCAACGTACGCCATGGGACAGAGACGGAGAATGATGCAATTGAATGGAAAGAGAAATTACTTCATAAATTTGTTATTATAACGTATTCAATTCAACGCTGTTCTGGACTCCGAGTCAATTCTAGCCCCTACGCGATTTTCCTTCACCATGCACACGTGTCGTGTTTTCACTGGACAATGAAAACCAAGCTCACATTTGCATTTGGGACGGGCCCGTGGGCCGAAAGAGTCCCTGCCTGCAGCCCACTATATACAGTGTTTGGTGCGTAAAAGGCCGGTCGGATTTGAGCTATTTTAATACCAAACTCAATTAAACTTAAATTAGTTGGTGGATATTTTTTTTATGACAACTCACCTGATTTCAGTGGAATTCGGTTGAGTTTGGATGTTCGAATTAAGTTATTAAAAATTAAGATTTAGTTCTTTGAGAAAGTATATCGTAAAAGATAAACTATATTTATAATTATCAATTAAAAAATCAGTAAGAATTGTGATCAAACCAAATTCATGTATAATAAAATTTAAAAATAATTATAGTATTAATTATTTTTTAATTAATGGTTGATTATTTTAAAATTAAAATTTACTTTAAAAGATAAAGTGCATTAATAATTATTGAATCCATCATAATTGGGTAACGTAAAAGTTACAAATTTAACATGCAAAAATATAATTAGGTTGATTTATGTAGACTATGTTTGCAGATTAGTTGTTATCCACTTATACCCTTAGTACCCAGTATTAGTATTATTCTCTATTCTTGTTTAAAAAAATTGTATTCATTAATATCATTTTATTTGTAAAAGTTATGTCTGTGTAAATTAAAAAATTGATAAAAGATAATTAATATTAAATAAGTGTGAGTAGTTTTTAGGAAAATGAAATATTTGAAAAATAAATTTATAAGAAAAAATATATAAAAAGTACGAGAGATAAAATATGTTTTGAAAGTTAGGCAACAAAATGGTGAGCTGAATATGCAAATTAAAAAAAAAAAAAAAAAAAAAATTAAAAAAAAAAAGATATTGTCTTTATCGATAACTAGCGTACAATAGGTATTGTGTGGCTACATGGATTATTCAAAAATAAATAAATAAATAAGTAATGTCAATTATACTTATTAAAAACATAGATGATTACTTTTGAAGCGAAAACATAGAGAAAATAATAAATTTATAAAATTTATAAAATAATAGTTATAAGGGTAATATTGTTCATAAATATTGACACCAAATGAGGCGTTTTTATTTATTAATAATATTGATATATTTTTTATAATATACCAACTTACAAAAGGCACTATGTCTATGTGTCTTTATCAATTATTTTAAAAAATATAATGAATAATAAAATTATATAATAGTAAATGATTATTAAAAATGAAAACAGATGTTTTTGGAGGGGAATTTATAAAAAAAAATTATAAAAAGGTAGTTATGAGAATAAAATTGCTCAAAAATGTAGATACTAAATGTGATAATCTTCATTATTAATGGTATAGATATAGATTAGTTGACAATTTTTTTAACTACATTGGTCTAACATATCTCAAATCTAATACCTTATTTAAAGGGATGAAAATAATTTTACTTGAATTAATGATTTGTTTGTAGTTGATCAAAATTTAATTTAGCTAAATATTTAATAGAAAAATATTTTATTGTTATATTAAATATTTTATTACATTTAAGGATTAGAAACGAATCGAGTTTAGTCGAACTCGATTTTACTCAATAACATTTAGCCTAACTTGTGGTTTGACTCGAATTTGACGTTGACACTTTTTTATAACTCAAACTTGACTCAATTTTTAGCAAATCGTTAATTTGAATAATATGAATCAAGACTCAATTTTTTTTAATCTTATACATTTCATATTTTGAATTTAATAATATATTTTAGATAATTTTTTTAAAAATATTATAAAGATAAAATGTAAATTATTATATCAGCTTTGCAAGATTACAAGGTACATTTCTAAAGAATCATAATTACAACTAAAGTTTGTATAAATTAAAATTACTCTATCTTGTATAAAATAATAGAAAATTCAATTATAACCATGAAATTTTAAAATGCTCATTTCTTTCAAATTTTAATAAAATAAAATAAATTATAAATTTAATTATATATTTTTTTATTAAGTTAATTCACAAACCAAATGAGTCGAATTATAAATAACTCAAATTCGACTTATTTATTTATCGAGCTTAAGTTTAACTCATTTGATTTATGAACCAAATTTAACATGTTAATTATCGAGTAAAGTTTTGACCTATTTTTTAGTTAGTTTAGTTCATTTCACCCTTACATTTAAGTATTAAATATTTTGACTTTTGTTGATTATATTTTGCTATGATATAAAGGGTTTTCTTTAGAAAGACGTTCAAAACATTCAGATGTGTAATTTAGGGTATTTCAATCCTAAGGCTGTATTTTATACACATGTATCAAAATCTAGGTGTTTTCAAGGTAGTCTTTCAAAAACTTGGAGTGGCATGCTTTGTATTCTAATGGTCAATGTGCATATTTATGAGGATAACTCTTTATAAGTCAGTTTGCACCTGACTTCCATTGTGGGTGTGTGGAAGAAATATTAGTCTAAATATTAGGGACTTTGTTGGCTTGGAAAAGAATAGAAAATCAATTTATAAAAGATTAGACAAGGAGGAGAATTGATAGTTGCCTTGGAGGAGGTTGGGTAATTGACTTAAAGAATATTGAATAATTGACATAAGGAAGATTAGGCTGTTTGGTCAGTTAATTTGAGAGAGAATCACAATCAACAAAAATGAGATTGGACTAGAAAAATCAACCTAAAACATCAATCATAATGTCAATTGAATAAACAAAACAAACCTTATGAAGATTAAGTAGGAAAATTCATGATTAGATGGCCAACTCAAATTATACTACCTAAAATATTTTTTAGTGGGTATGTATTTAATAAACTTTTAAGTGGTTGGGTAAATTTATGACTAGATGACCAATTCATCCATATTCTACCTATACATCATGGTAGTGATATTCAAATTATTTATCTTTTAAAAAAATGACACTAATGTTTTATCACAGTTAAATGAGATTTCGTTCTACTATGAAAGTCGGTCAATTCAAGTGATTGGCTGGTTCAACCAATTTGATTAGATTACTATTTGAACTAATTGATTTCAATCAAATATTTAAAGTTTTTAAACTACATGATTAATCTTACATTCAAAAATACTTAAGTCAATGATAATTCTATTAAAATGACTAAGTACAAAAAAAATATATACATGATACCATAACATTATTGTGATCATAAAAATAAAAAATGAATTACCTTTCATGATATATTTAATTGGATAGGAAAATCCTCCAAATATTATAGTTTAACATTAATAATTATTTTCAACGATTTTAAAATATAAATAGAAAGGTGGGAAGACTCATCATATAAAATAAAAATAAAAAACTTTCCTTTTAAGTAATTGAGTGGGAAAATCAAATAAATAGAAAGATCAATGTTTAGTTCAGGAAGATATTATACACATATTAAACATGAATGGATAAAAATTTTACTTTCGTCAAGTGATTTACTAAATAATTAAAAATAAAATACTAGAAGTTATTCAAAATTCAAAAGAATTAAAGAATGTAGTTACATTGGTATATTACATAGCAAATTGACTCTATACTAAATGTTGCCACAAGTCAACATCTTATAATTTAATGGATAAATCCAAATTCATTTAGACCATAAAGTTAGACTTTAGCATTTATTTTCCCCGAAAAAGAAAAATATTGATTCGCACGATTAGAGAAATATGTTACCCTTTCACTTTTGAATTTAACAATATAAAAGTGTCAATGTGTATCCAATAAAGATTTTATTAAATATCAGTGGATAAAACTCCAATTTTAATAAAAAAAAATAACATTAATAATATCTACAATACAATTTTTTTCATTAAAAATATTATTCAGAATCTAACTAAATTGTGATTTTCCAGTCATAACTTTTTTTCAGCATTTTGTCTGCTTTCAAGAAGATTTGCCATTCAGATGCATGTTTTGATGTTCTTCTCTTCCAGCTGGCTGGTTATACTTCCAAGACACATGTATCAATTAAAACGTGTTCTATGGCACAACCCTTCAGATTCTAGAGCAAGAAAAAAAAAAAAATTAAAAAACAATTAAAGTAAAAAAGAAAAGGTGAAAACTGAAGAAGAGTAGGAAGTACGGAAGGCAAGAGAGAGAAAGAGAAAGAAAGAAAAGAAGTGGAGAGGAAATGAATTGGGAAGAAAAGAAAAGAGTGTGAGAGAGAGAGAGAAAGGAAAGGAGAGTCGGCGCCCCATGTCCCCGCCGACCAATCATAACGTCGTTTTCAACCTCATCACCCTTCTCTTCCCGTGTCGTTTAATCTTCTCTCCTCTATTCAATAATCAATAGCATTTCTTCTTAAATCTTAAAACCCTATCCCTTTCTCTCTCTCTCGGGTTCTTCCGATTTATATTTTTTCCCAAATACGGAAGACCTCCTCCCTCTAACTTACTTTTCATTTCAATTCCTTCAGTTTCCCTCAATTTCTTCTTTCAGGGTTATTCCTTAAAAAAAAAAGAACAAACATTTCTCTTTCTTTCTCTCTTTTTAATTCCGGTAATTATGAGGGCGGCGGTTGAAGGATCCTTGGCTGAGAGGTTTGACGACGGCGAAAAGGAGAAGAAGAAGAAGCGCCGATCCAATCGTCGATCCAAGCAAAACCCTCCCTCATCTTCAGGTATTGCAATTTCATTATTTATTTATTTATTTATTTATAATTGTTATGTTATTTATGGGGGTATTGGGGACTTTTCATTCTTGCCCAGGTGAGAAAATTCAATTTTTTTATTAGGTTACTCATTGGGTCTCGTGGGTTGTGAAAATATGGTTTTGTGTTAGTTGAAGTTGCTGTTGTGTGTTGTTCGTATTTATGACAAGTCAAATCGAGAGCGGGTTCCGTTTTTCGAGCAGAGAGATGGTTCTAAATTGCGCATCAACTGCACGATTGCAGTGTGGATTTAAATTACAAAATATGCTGCAACACAACCGCTATGAATCGTAGCACAAATTGCTGTTCTTTACGAATGGTTCTGAGGTTGCATTTGTTGGTCTTGTGTTTGATACTGTTGCTGTTTCCTCTTGTTGTGTTGGGTTCTTGAATCGTTTGGTCAATGCAAAATGTACCATGGTGGTTTGGTTTACCTGCCACTGAGATCGACTTTTTTTTTTCTCCGTAATTTAAAATTTGGATCAATAATATTGGTGAAATGGTTTTTGAAGAACTTGATTCTTTTTTCTTTGTTTTTGCGCTTAGCAAATGCGAAAAAAATGGGGTGGGTCAGTTTTTTTCTCTTGTGTGATTCTTGGCGTTTTCTTTTTCTGTTATGATAGCATCTGAAGTGAATGAGGCCCAGGGTGTGTCGCCGGATTCAGGAAAAAATGGAACAGCTGCTCATGCTTCTGCATCCTTGAGCAGTTCACTGAAGCAGGTCAATGTGTGTTCTCCTAATGAGCAAGGATTTTCCAAAGCGTCAAATGTCGCTTTTATTTCAATGCCCCCCATGCATATCAATGAGCAAGTGGAACATGGTGATTTGCGTTTCGTGCCAATGCATGGTGGAGGAGTTGAATCAAAATCGTTTTCTGAGCCCACTGGTTGTAGAGGGTCATCAGGAACTAATAAAAACAAGGACTCAGTCCCTTGTGGTCAGATTGGGTTTTGTGCCCAGAAAAATTATTTTAGTCCACACTGGTCCGTAGAGGCTGTTGAGAAGGCATCAGAGGTTAGTAATGCGGTATTTTACACACACACATGTAGTGCAATATAAAGTTGCTGCCATTTTTAATGGAATTTCACTTGGTTTGCAGAAGGGCGATGTTTTTAATGCTCTCTTTCATGTCAATGCTCACAATAAACATGAGGTTTTTTTTCTTCTAACATCTATCTTGCAGTCTTTTTAGTTGCTCTCCCCCCCCTCTCTCTCTTTTTATGGGAGAGGGGGTTGAGGTAAGTTGTGATATAGTTCGATTGAAATTTTCTATGTATATACATGTAGGCCTACTGCAAAATTGATGGAGTGTCAACTGATATTCTTATTGGTGGGATTCCAGCCCAAAATAGAGCTGTAAGTATGGATGTCATTATTATATTACCCCTCAAATTTTTAATGGAATTTGTTTCCCCTATTGATCATATACAAATCACTGAAGTATTTTGCTGCTTTTAATAGGGTCATTTGCTTATATGTCCCATGTCCATTCATTAAGATTTTCATATATTACTTTATGCGCGTATTGATGTGATTATCAACTTAGCCTATGTCTGGTCATGTTGATCTCTGCGCATCCGATTTATATGACCTCACCTAATGGAATAAGGCTTTTGTGATTATTATATGTGTGTGTACTGGTATATGGGGTGAGTGGGGGATCTAAAGTAATTCTCTGAGCCACGTAGTAGTTATAATTTTCACACAATGTGTGGGGTACTGTCATGTTATTTTTTTTGTCTTCCTCTCCTTTACAATATACAAAAAGTTTTCATCAGTAATCTGTCATGGATTTTAGACAGAGATGTTTTGCTTCTTCCATAGTTGATATTATAACTGAAATGTGCCTCATTGTTCCATGTATCTTGCTGGATAATGTACATCTGATGATTATTTTGTGTATAGGTGGAAGGTGATATTGTTGCGGTTAAGATTGATCCCTTGCCATTATGGACAAAAATGAAAGGACCAAACGGGTCATGTAATAACACTGCAACACAGGAGGGTAGCAATCTTACAGAAGATAATGAAGAGGGTGGTAATATTTGTAAAGGGAAAGCTAAGGTAGATGCTGATTATGAGTCAGTCCATTGCAGAAGCTATCCTGGTCAAATCAAGGAAGATGCTGATCAAAACTCCTCCAATAGAAGTTATCCTTCTCCTGAAAAAAGATTAGTTTACGAGGATAATACCTCCCGGGGTTCTACTAACCATTTAGATGTACATGGAATGATCAGCCATGACAGCATTAATGGACATCACTGTGCTGCTCCTGATTCCTTAAAGATCAATTCTTGTAGTGGACATAGTGAAATAGTTAATGCAGTGGAAAAATTATGTTTGTTGGTTAATTCTTTTCCTTCTAAAAGACCAACTGGCAGGGTGGTTGCTATTATTGAGAGATCTCCACGTCGAGAGGGTATTGTTGGTCACCTAAATGTGAAGCAGTGGGTTCCTTTCAGGGACATAAGCAAAAAGGATGTGAAGAAGAATAAGAATTTGATTTCTGAGCATGAATATATCCAGCTGATACCAATTGATCCAAAGTTTCCAATTATGATGCTTCCTGTTAGAAAGTTACCTGAGTGTATTAAGAAAAGGCTGAAAAGTGGCGATGTGACAATGGAAATGGATCTGGTAGCTGCACAAATTGATAATTGGGTTGAAGAAAGTCCTTTTCCTGAGGCTCACGTCTTCCGTGTTTTTGGACGTGGTGGTGAAGTACAGTCCCAATTAGATGCAATTTTGTTTCAGAATGCAATCTGTTTGTCTGAATTTCCACCAGAAGCTCTGTCCTGTTTGCCATGTGTTCCTTGGGAGGTGCCGCTGAAGGAAATTCAGAGTAGAATAGACCTTAGAAATATGTGCATATTTACTATTGATCCTTCAACTGCCACTGATCTGGATGATGCTCTGTCAATTGAGAAGTTACCTAATGGAAATTATAGAGTAGGTGTGCACATTGCTGATGTGTCATATTTTGTTTTACCTGACACAGCCTTAGATAGTGAGGCCCAGCGTAGGTCAACAAGTGTCTATATGTTGCAAAGGAAGTTACCAATGTTGCCTGCATTATTGTCAGAGAATATTGGTTCACTTAGTCCTGGAGTGGATCGACTTGCGGTTTCCATGCTATTGGATATAAATCTTGCAGGGGATGTTGTAGACTGCTGGATTGGTCGAACTGTTATACATTCTTGTTGTAAGCTTTCATATGAACATGCTCAGGACATCATTGACAGGGCTTTTGATTTTGAAGGTTCAAACTTTATTGAAGATGGTTATCCTAGAGTGTACGGCCATTTTGAATGGCCTGATGTTATTAAGTCTTTGAAGAGTCTTTATGAAATTTCAAATGTTTTGAAACAGAAGAGGTTTACTGATGGGTCTCTACGGCTTGAAAACCCCAAAATTGTTATCTTGTTTAATGAAGATGGAGATCCTTATGATAGTATGCTTTCTGAAAGAAAAGAGTCTAATTTTCTTGTTGAGGAATATATGCTGTTGGCCAATAGAATTGCAGCTGAAGTTATATGTAGAGCTTATCCTGATGGCGCATTGTTGCGGAGGCATCCTGAACCTAATATGCGGAAGCTGAGAGAGTTTATGGCATTTTGTCAGAAGCATGGTTTAGATTTGAACACATCTTCTTCTGGTCAGTTCCATTGGTCGTTAGAGCAGATCCGGGAAAAGCTCAAAGGTGATCCTGTGCTTTATAATATACTTATTTCTTTTGCTACAAGACCAATGCAGTTGGCATCTTACTTCTGTAGTGGAGATTTAAAGGGCAGCGAAAATGAATGGGGTCATTATGCTTTGGCTGTCCCATTTTACACTCATTTTACATCACCTTTGCGTCGATATCCGGATATTATTGTTCACCGAACACTACTGGCTACTATAGAGGCTGAGGAATTATATATGAAGCATTACAAGGGAGTGAAAGTGCAAAAAAGATGTTTCACAGGCATTAATTTTGATAAAAATGCTGCAGAATCCATAGAAGGTAGGGAAGCACTATCAGCTGCAGCTGAGAAGCATAGTGTTCCATGTGCTGAAATACTTGCAGATATTGCTGCTTATTGCAATGAGAGAAAGCTAGCTAGTAGAAATGTTAAGGATGCCTGTGATAAACTTTACATTTGGTTTCTCCTGAAGAAAAAGGAGGTATAGCTTTTCTAAGTCATTTTCTTGAAGTCACTACTGTTATCCTTGCAATTATTTTTTTTCATAGCTGGTTGGGAGGCTTTTGGTTCTTGTCATGTTTCAAGCCTAGGTTTGATTCTGATATATTTTCCTTTGCACTTAAAGTCTTCCTTCTACTGTGCAGGTCTTATTGTCTGAAGCAAGAATACTGGGACTGGGCCCAAGATTCATGTCAATTTATATTCAAAAGCTAGCTGTAAGTAACTTTTGACCATATGCAAGTTCTATTTTGCCCAAAAAGTAGATGTGTCAAAGTGTCTCTTCAGTAAATATGCTTTTTATTTCCTTTATGTGGAACAGTTTCCATAAATCACTGGAATAAGAAAACTGCTTATAAGATCTCAGCATTTTCTCTCGATGATTGTCAAGACAACTCTTAATGAAAACATGTCTTGGAATTTTTTCATTTTAAGAGGTTGGGTGGGTGTTGATTGTGTAGTTTGTCTATTGACATCACGTTATTCCTAAAAGAAAATTATGGCATCATGTGATCCGTTATGACATAGCTGACTGCATCTAATATAAAAAACGCTTTGTTATTTGTCATTGATGTTACTTGAATAGGAATACTACATGTTTTGTAATTGAATTTGTATCATCAGAGAAGTACCTTATTCATTTCACTATGGGTTTATAAGGATGCTTAAGGTCATATTCTTGAAAATTTTATTAATGCAGGATTATTAAGTCTAACTAGGTGCATATTAAATCTGTTATTGGAGACACCAAATGGACTAAACCATTATGCCAGAGATAGAATTTGTATATTCTGAATTTTGCACTTCATTTAAAAAAATGGAATTGTATATGATGTATGAAAAATTGAGAATTTTTGCATAATTTGACGCACACAAGTTGCTGATTTTGTTACTAACGCTTCATGCCATTCTTATGATTCTTTTGTACATCTTCCATATTCAGATTGAGCGGCGCATATATTATGATGAAGTTGAAGGCTTGACTGTGGAGTGGCTCGAGACTACATCCACTTTGGTGCTCAGCATGTGTAATAATAGGTGTGCATTTAGGAAGGGCAGCTCTAACAAGTGGAGGGCATTTGAAGAAGTTGCATTGCTTACTTGTCCATATAACCTGAAAGTTACCATGGATAATTCTAAAGTAAGTGATGCAAAAGTGGATGATAGTATATCTGTCTTGGACAGGGAGCCCATTTCAGGATCAGACTCGGTGGAAACTGAAATTGACCCTGCTGTTTTTCCACTAACAGTCCGTGTTCTTTCAACAATTCCAGTCGCACTTCATGCTGTTGGTGGTGATGACGGGCCCCTCGATATTGGAGTGAGGCTGTACATGAGCTCCTATTTTGGGTGAGTTGGTAGTTTTGAGGTGGCAGATCCAGTTTGCAACCAAAGATTGTGGTGTGATGAATCTGTCGATTTCTATTAATGGAATGGAGTTGGCTCCATTGTGGAATAGTGTATAGTTCCGACATAGGTGGGAAAATTACATGGTCTAAATTTGCTAATGTTCTATAAACCTGTTTAAAACTGAGATTTGGGAGTAGGTGTGTAGATAAAAGCAGAAGGTTGTGTTATAGCTTTGGCCTGGCTGGCCTGTTTCTAACAGAACCTTCGTACTGGAATTGGCGCTTGTTTTTGTTGGCCCGTTCCATCTACTTAGTATGTGCAACGTATTTGGTTTCCTTATAGAGGCTGAGATGCCAATTCATACTTTCGTTCTATTTTGGTTTGACTGCAGCCCAATAAATTTTTTGATTTTGGGTGGCCACTTGTACTCGTAATTTGGTTTCTGCAACATTTATGTACGTTACTTTCTGACTTTGGTGAACGGTGAAATGGAATGATCTTTCTTGTTACAGTTGCTGTAGTCTATTACTATCACTGTTGTCCCGGCCGATATTCGTCTCTTTTGGGGTTAATTTTTGTATTTTTTTATATGCCAAAAGCTAACCATATTTGTTGGTAGATAACATTCTCAGGAATTACGTATCTTTTTTGTTACACTATTGGTCAGGTACGTTTAACTCCCTAGAGTGTTATGGCGCTAGGCTTCATGCTCTGAACATTGCAGGTGAACTTCACTTTGAATCATAGTCCACCTTCTGGGACTAAGCTGATGTGATATTTATCTCTGCAAGCAAAAGGTGTATAATGTCAATTTAGACCCACAAATTTGTTAAGAAACATTTTAGAATGTTCGGTAGCTATATAAGCAAAGATGAGATGGTGGGAAGAAGCTTGACCGTGTGACCACCATACCTCAACTGAGACCATCATAAGCTTTCCTTGTTCTTGAGAACACAAGATTTCTGCTGAGGATGTACAAATTAAAAGCAATGCCAATAAAATCGAAAAAGGGTAGCAGAACAAAAGTTGAGGAATGAGCTGGGAAGTATGCATGGTAATTGTTGAAAGAACAATTTAAGGGTCCATTTGTTTAATTTTTTTCCTTCTAACTTCTTTTTTTTTTTTTTAAAAAAAAAGCACTGCTTTATTGAATGTGTTTGTCTATTTTTTTTTTAAATAAGTAATTTTCAGTATTTTTAAGAAGTAATTTTTATCTGTTTTTAAAAGCATTATTTTTTTTAAAAGTAGTTGTTTAAAAACATTTATTTTTAAGTTTAAGCAGACTCTAAATTGATAAGATAACCATTTGAAAATATTTTTGCTTTTGGGACATACATATCATTCTGACTTGTTGACTTCGAAGAGGTAATTTTCATTTTTTTTATGGATAAACTTTTAAAAATTCTCATTCTACTTAAGTCATGTTTCTGAAACATGTCTTTTAAGTTTAAAATTGTGTTTGAATTCGTGACTTATTCTTTTTAATTATTTTTACGATGTGATGATTAGATTCTCGGTTTAATAAGAAGTCCTTTCGTCACCATTAACAACTTGAACTTTTTAATTTTTAATTGATGTTAAGATTTCAAACATGAATTTGTAATTTTTTAGGCTAAGATTGGTATAAAGAAATTTTAACTTATCAAAGTCGTTAGCATCAATAATTTAATATTTATGTAGTCAAAAATATGTTTGATCCTTTTAATTATTACTAGTAGTGTGATATTTATGTTTGTTAGTTAAGAATTAATGTTTAGCCCTTATGACTATTACGTAAAATAAAAATCGATTTAACCTTTCTATTAAAAATATATTTTGAATGGAAAATAGGTAGCATTGAGAATATGAAATATTACGTAATGCAATTAAATATAAATATGGATTGGTTTAGTATTGTTAAAACAAATATTGGAGTTTTATTTTGAGAAGAACAAATATTTGTTTAAATATATTATAATTATATTATTAAGTACTTTGAATTATTTTTAAAATATATTCAAAGTTAAATACTTCCTGCGAGGAGATTTTCTGGGGTTAATCTTGGTCGCAACCTGAGTTTCGCATGGCATAACATCCATGCTTCACAGGTAGTGGTAAGAGGGGGCATGAGGTGGTGTATTGGTAATGTTCTCTACATCAAGTCATGGATTGATCCCTAATTGTGACAACAAGGTAAGCCTCATGTAACATTTTTGCCTCCAACAAGGTATGAGGAGATCAGGATAATTGACCTAATTGATTTTGAGAATGACATTTGGAAGTTTGATCTTATCAACAAGATTTTTAACTAACATGATGATGATGTAATAAAAGATATCTCACTCCTCCAACTTAATGAAGTAAATACACTCACGTGGAATCTCAATAGGAAAGACTTGTACTTTGTTAAATATGCTTATCATATTATTATGGAGTCTTTGTTATGCAACTGTATCTCAAGGCTCTCTAGTGATTGAAAAAATATGGGCTCTACCTATTCCACATAATATGAAAATCTCTTTGGAGATTTCTTAGAGATTGTCTTCCTTCACGCCAGCACCTTTAGCAAAAGGGAGTCCTTTGTACCTCCTTTTGTCCCCACTGTGAAGCTACAAAAGAAAATGACTAACACATATTCTTTGGTTGTCAAGAAGTACAGACTGTATGGCAAGCAACTGACATATGACAACATGGATGTAGGTGAAAGGATTGTAGAGGTCTTTTTTCCTTACTTGGTAGCATAACTCAAAGTCATATTATTGAAGTCGTGGTCATGCTTGGTTGTATCAGGAGGCGTCAAAATGCTAAGGTTTGGGATTAGGGCGCCCCACCTTTAGGTATAGCCATCTCACATGCAAAACAACATTTTTTGGGATTGGCAGGTGGTACAAGCAAGACCATTAACACAAAGGATCCCTCCTATACACAATCTACAGTGGAAAAAGGCCCATGTAGGGATGGTTTATGTGCAATATAATATTGACATTGCTCTCTTCCAGGACTCGTCCTGTTTTGGGTATAGCATATGCATTCGAAATGAACATGGACATTTTATCGTAGCCAAAATTGGTTGGACTCATGGCCTTCCACCTGTTCATGAGGCTGAAGCTACAACTTTATTTGTAGCCATCCAATGGATAGTACCTTTGAGCCTCGTCCACGTAACCAGATTGTAAGTCTGTCCTTGAAGCTCTATTTAGGGCTCAATCACACCACTCAGAATATGGGTCCCTTCTTAATAAGTATAGAAGATTGTTACATAATCATCCGAACTTATCACAAAGTTCATTTCGAAATAAGTCAATTGGATCATTCATTGTTTAGCTAGGGTCTCGTGACGTACACTTTTAAATTTATTCCCTCATGTATTATTTCAATTATTTTAAATGAAATAACATAATCTTATTTTTCTCAATTTTTTTTATATTTATATATTTTTATTTTTAAAATTAAAGAAAAAATGAGTTAAATAAAAATAAGAGTTAAATATGTGAAATACATGTAAAACCTATTTAGTGAAAAGTTTTAGAATTATATCACTTAAAAAATTGCATTTTAGTTATATAAACTAAAAATAAATTGTAACAATGAAAATAAAAATGAATAATGTCCTAGGACCAAAAATAAATATCAAACGATGAAGTTGCTTAACGAACCAAACTCGAGTATATTACTTTGGTACGTGTAATAATATTCCTTAATCAAAATCAAAAGATTATTCTGATAAATTATTAAAATAAAACACCAATTTAGATTAACAGTATTACACAGATACCCAAACAACACCCAAAATCTTTTCCTTGTGTAAAGTAAGAACTAAGAAATGAGAATTACAAGAGCAATGTTGGCGCCAAAAGAAGAGAGGGTAGAATAGTTAGGTTAGGGCGTTAACCGAAGAAGATGGCTTCAGCATTTGGATGGTTCGGTCCTCTCATTGACCTCTCCGCTGCCTCCTTTCACATCGGCGATTTCGTGCAGCTTCTCGTCTTCGTTCACCGTTCCTTCCCCGTTCAGGTTTCTTATTCTCGGTTCACGTTTCTCAATCATTATGCTTCTTCTGTTAATTGCGTTTGCGTTTGCGTCCGTTTCTTATTCCCAGTGCAAGTCGTCCAAACGCGGACGAGACCTAACGCGAACCGACATCGAAGTCGGCGACGATACGACGACGTATTTCGTGGTTTCTCTCTGGCAGAAGCACATGGCGTCCGCGGTGGCAGCGGGAGACGTCGTCTTGTTACAGAGTAAAATTCCGTTATTCGTTTCTTCGAAACTCGTCGTAGCTGTTCACTTGACGGCGTTAACGCTGATTTGACACGTGGCAGATTTGAAGGTTGCGAAGTATGGCGGTGTTGTTGAGGCCAGAACCGTTCAGTGGTCTTCGCTGCTTCGCTTGGTTCACCCTTACCAATCGCTTCTCTCCAACGGTCTGTTATGTGCTTCTGTTTTTCATGACTGACTACGTCAAATTATTTTGTTCGTAGTAGATTTTGTTATTGAATTGAATCTTCAACTTTTATTGCGAAACAGTACCTAAGGCACTGCATCTTAATTTTGTCTCAACTAAATGCTTAATTAAAGGACCAGGGATATGATCGTAGTCATTTAGAAACTAGCATGACTGTTGCTGCATCTTTTAGGGACTAATTTTAACCATTGTTTCATTGCTACTTGGAGTTGCCTATACAAGTGTTTTCTCATACGACGATTAGTGCTACCTCACATGGTTACTATGTGATGTGCGACAAGAATTATTGAATGTGGATAGAGTTAGTTAGGGAAACTTCTCTAAAGCACTTCTATGAGAGAAAAATAAGAAGTAGAAATAAAATAAACTTCTCCATAAAATTAAAATTAACTTATGCATAAGTTAATTTGTGGACTCCTAGTAGCTTCTCTAAAATCTTAATTTTAACTCATAAATAAGCTATATGTTTTAGGTTATTAAGAAACTTATTTCAATTTTCCTTTTTATTTTCTCTCCAAGAAGTACTTTTGAAAAAACTTATCCAGACAAGCTCTTATTCTGCTTAAAATAAGTTTTGACTCGCACAATTTGCTTTTGTGCAGCTGTTGATGAGTTGATAACAGGTTGCCGTGTTGGGACAACAACAAAGGACAAGCTTAGGAAGGTCATAAAGTGGGTGCAGCAGTCTCGGTCCACCATCTGCAACATCAATTTGCAGTCCAATAAAGTATTCTCTTTGCCCTGTAATTGATGCCTTCATTATATAATTTCTCACAAGGGTGTGAGGATACCTCACGAAAAAACCATAAAAATATCATTATCACGTTACATCCCTGTATCCTATGGCTTTGGTTACACTATTGGGCTGAGGGCATCGTCTGTTGCATTTATCACATACTGTTTAGAGTATGAAATTAGGACGCCTACTGTAAGCGGATTAAGTCACATAGCATAGGTGTATTCAAAAGAGAAAAAATAAGTACAAGTTCCAAATCTCTGTACTTGACTATCCTACTAGTATTAGTGTCTTAAATTTTATAAGCGTGCTATGTTCTTTTGTACATTTATTGTTGTTAGAAATGCCAGGTTCTCTTTCTTGTGCTTAAGGGTGGCTATTCAATCCATTTATTCACTATTCATCCAATCCACTCATGTATCCATTCAATTATAAAAGTAAAAATTAAAATTAATTGATTGGTAGGAGAATGAACCGTTCAACACATTTTTGTTATTCATTGGGTCAAATAATTCAAAGTTCATTGTTTCAGCATAGGTCTTCTAGGGATGAGTTTTGGACTCTATTGTGTCTGAGTACAAGGACTCTGTAAACATTGTACTTTATTTTATAAAAATATTTTTTTGAAAAAAATTAAATATAATATGCTTTAAATAGATGAGTTGGGTATCTATCCATATAAAATGGTTAATGGATGAGTTGGATGATTTTTTATTAAGTGGATTCTTTGAGTACATTTTTAACATATCATAAATAATTAATGATTTACTTTAAAGTTTTAATACATCTATTATAATTCAATTCAAAATCTTTCCATTTTATTTGTTTGACGCACCAAGTTGTCTCAATTGTCCTAAGGCAAGTTAGATATTAAAAGCTAGCAAATCCTTCTGTTTGATTTTCTTTTATTCATATAGATAACGAGCATCCGTTTGTAGCGTATCATGGGTAATATAGCTGTCTAGTTCCATTGTAATCCCATTATGTTGTAAACATGTGCAAATGATTGTGGTAATCGAGATTATTATACTTTGTTCATTTCATATTTTAGATCTAAATTTCTTTAACAAAAAAGGTTGTCTTTGATAGATTGATTTCTTTCACTTTTAGATAAATTTTCAATATGCTTCATGTCTTATCCATGCAGTATTGGTTAAGATACACTGATAAATCTACTGAATGTGATACACACAGCAAATTGAGCTTCTGCCAAGAAACTGGACGGTGCTTGAAGAGGAAAAGCCTAGGGACTGCTTTTCACTTATGGAAGTCTCTCAGCTAACAGCATCCTGCAAGGCTATTGTCTGTGCATCTATTGGTGAAATTGTTCCACTACTTACCTCCAGGACTGTTGGTGATACGAAGAAAGAGAAGATTTTCATTAGCAGGAGAGCTTACAGGGCTGAGAATAATAACTTGGTAGATGATCTCATATGCACTGGCTGCCATCTCTGTGGTTCACCCTTAGATTTAAAGTACTAGTTTATATGATTATTCAAGCCTTGTTGTGCCTTTCATTATGATCAGTAATAATTCCTCCCCTTTTCAGATTTGAGCAAAATGCTAATCAATTGATGTGTTGGAAAAATTCAAGCCGCCTTCACTCTATATGCTCGATATATAGGCCCTTCATGGTAAATATATGTTCATACATCATGCTCATATGTATTTCTCCTCACCATGATCTTATCCCGTCACTCATTAGACTTTGAGGAATAACTTATGTGGTGTGTTTAATTATACATTACTAATCATAATACATATGAAAGTAGAAAAATGTCTTGTTGTCAAAGAGCAATCCACAATTTCGTATATCTTTTATAAACGAAAGAAACCATCCATAGCCAAATTGATGGAATGTGAGGCATCTTTATCTAATGTTTCGAAGTATACTTGAATGTGTTTCGTACCATACTTATTTTATAATTAAAAGATAGTATCAGATAACAAGAGGAAAAATAAGTCTTGTTATGCATCTGATTGTTAACATTTAGATTATTCTTACAAATTTATAATTAGACTTGCTTACTGGTGCAATTTTTGGCAGCTATACGTGTGGGATGAATCAGATTACATGCCAATTCTCGTTAAGAACAGGGCCGCAGAAATCTTGTTTGGGAACATCAAGGCTGGAAAAGTATATTCAACTTACAGAGAACAAATGCGTAACCAAAATCTTGGTCCGAGAAATAAATGCAAGGATAAAGATGCCGGTGAAAGACTTGCTATTAACCCGAGACTTTCTGAGGAAGGACTTCCTAGTGCCAATACGTTAGAGGTGGGTAAGAGCTTGCAATTAGAGGAAAAGCATCTTCCTGATAAGTTCAACTTTTACCGTGTCTGGTTAATTCTTCTTAAAATGTTGCTGAAACAAGGAAAGAACGGGCCTCTGAAATTTGAGATCATTGTTGATCCCGGCTTAGATATCGAAAATGGAAAGTTTGAAATGGTTTCTGCAACAATGCCTTGCTTTGGAACCAAATGATTTTATCCATCCTGAACTTTGCATATTTGCTTGCACATCTCCAAAGTCCAAATTGCAATTTCTTGAACACTCCCACGCGCTCTTTTCAAAATTAGTTTAAATGTTATACATATATAAAAATGTATTCTAATTTTAGTTTCAATAAAAGGTTATTCAATTTTAATTTTACATTAAAAAGAAAAAAATTAAACTCAGTTCTTGTAATCTTAAGGATTGGAACCAAATAACGTTCACACAGAACTAAAAAGAAATCATATTTTAGGAATTGGAAATATATTCAAGTCTTGCAAAATTTTAAAATAAATAAAAGGAAAGGAAAATCGTAAACAACTGTCTTGCTCTATTTATCACTTTACGAGTTGTCTTTTCGATGTTGTTACCTGTTCTCTCCATCCAAAAGCTATTTTTGTTTACTCAGTTGTTTGTTATTTTAATTTTAAAAGTTTGTGAGGCAAAGAGTGCTTATCTCCATTACTTGTCTTGCAACTACGAAAAGTCAGCCCCAAATAACTTGTGTTCTTTGCTTCCAGAAAACTTCTCTCTGATGCCATTCTTTTCTCTCCATCTGCTATCATTGGGAAGTGAAAAGGGAAATATCTCCCTGTTTCTTTTTTCTTTTTTTTAAACACTTATTTTTTATTTTGGGCATAGTTTTAAAAACTTAATAGACTTTTAGATGATAAATTGGTTGATAAGTAAAGTATAATTGTTTTAGGAAAGTTTATAAAACAAAAAAAGAAATCAAACACGCTCAAGTCTGGCAAAAATTGCATATAATAATCCAATATTACATTACAGAGCACAAAATTGTGAGTGCCCCATGAGCAAGGTAAAGATGTGATTCGATAAAAAAGATTGAGATCATCTTCCTTATAGACAAGAGTATAGTGCTCCAATTATTCGATATACGGTTTGCCTCTCAAAATAATAATCCTTTTGGGTGTTATAGCCATCCCAAATAGGAGCCAGCAAGAGCGTTTTTTTTATTTACCATCATTATATAGGAAACATAATGTAATAAAACATCCCAGAAATCTTTATGAATGAACAAAGAAATCCTTATCCACCTTCTTTGGTCTACACTGCTGGAGGAAAAACCAATAAAGACCAACATAAAAGCATCAGTTAGAAGAAAATTTGACCATGGACTACCAGAAAAATGCATTTTGTTACAGTTATGACCAAACAAATTTGACAATGCCGACAACTTCAAGATAATGGTTATGAATCAATTTTTGTTTCACCCAAAGAAGTCTCAGCAGCATCATTTTGCGCTTCAAGTAGCTTCATTTGGCGCTCTGCGTGTTCCCTCTCGCAAGCACTAATTCCCATAATAATATCCAACATAGTACCAGTGGTGCCGAAAAATACAAGGGGTGCCAGAGATTTACGCTTTATCCCCACTGGAATAGCCAGCAAAGCTCCTGCAACTGAGAATACCCAAGTGCCCAATGCACTGAAAACTTTCCATGTTCAGTAAAATATCAAACAAATTCACTTTTGGAAATATTAAAAAGGCATGGCGCAGATGACAAAGTTAAACATCTAAGAAATGAAGTCCCCCAAGCAGATTTCCACACTAAAGCAGAACATGAAACCGTTTAGATTGTTGACTGAGTCAGAAGATTTTTAGTTTAAGAAATCTATTTTGAAATTTTATATTTCTGTTTTTTATGTGTTTCAGTTAATCTGTTTTCCCACAACTAGGAATATGCTGTTAGTCGTTGGGTTATTTGGCTATTTTCTAGGAATTCAGTTGTAGAGCTAAGTCTATAAACTTGGCTATTTTTTCATTTGTGAATAAGACGTGCTCTTAGATATGTTTCTATCCTTTTGCACTCTATACAATCTGATCTGAGTTAACATCTGGTATCAGAGCCAGGTTCACTATAGCAAGAAGCAGCAGACTTCAATCATGGCTACGGATGGCAATTTTGTGCAACCTGCAATTCCAAAATTGAATGAGCATTATGATCATTGGGCAATGCTCATGGAGAACTTCTTAAGGTCAAAAGAATATTGGAATCTTATAGATCCAGGGATTCCCAAACATGCAGCAGAAGCTGAATTAACAGAGAACGAGAAGAAGACTGTGGAGGAGCTCAAGTTAAAAGATTTAAAAGTAAAAAATTATTTATTTCAAGCAATTGATCGAGCTGTGCTTGAAACGATCTTGAAGAAGGAGACATCGAAGGAGATTTGGGATTCTTTAAAACAAAAATACCAGGGCACTGCTAGAGTAAAGCGAGCACAACTTCAAGCCCTCCGACGTGAATGGGAGATTTTGCAGATGAAGAACGGAGAATCAGTTAATGACTATTTTGCTCGAACTCTCACAATTGCAAATAAGATGAGGATGTATGGTGAACGGGTGTCTGATCTTAATGTCATTGAGAAGATTCTCCGCTCAATGACCTCAAGGTACGATTATGTAGTGTGTTCCATTGAAGAATCTCATGATTTGGACACCATGACTGTAGATGAACTCCAAAGCAGCTTGTTAGTTCACGAGCAACGGATAAATGGCCACAATGCGCAAGACGAGCAAGTGTTAAAGGTTGCGCAAGATGAGACAGGTGCTAGACGTGGACGTGGAAGAGGAGTTTTTCGAGGTGGAAATGTTCAAGGAAGAGGTAGAGGCAGAGGAGGCAGATACGTGGACAAGACGATGATAGAATGCTATCACTGCCATGATTTTGGACATTTTCAATATGAATGCCCAAAGAAACCACAAGACAGCAAAGCAAATTATGTTGAGGTCGATGAGGAAGCGGTGTTACTGATGGCACAACTCTCATCAGATGGAAAATCAAATCCACAAGACATGTGGTTTATTGACTCAGGTTGTAGTAACCACATGACAGGTAGAAAAGATTGGTTCTCCTCCTTTGATTTTTCTTTTTCTGATGAAGTGAAATTAGGGAATAATTATTCTCCAAAAGTGGCTGGGAAGGGTACTGTTAAACTTTTAATTAATGGAGTTGTGCATTTGGTTAGAGATGTATTTTATGTGCCTGAACTGAAAAATAATTTATTTAGTGTGGGGCAACTTCAAGAGAAAGGATTGACTGTTGAGATGAAGCAAAATAAGTGTAGAGTGTTTCAAGAAAAGGGGATTATTTTTGAAACTTCTATGACTACCAATCGTATGTTTGCTGTCTATGTTAAATCTGGAGTTTCTCAGCCTTGCTTTCAGGTTAGTTCAGTGCCACCTGCAGAAGTTTGGCACTCTCGGTATGGGCACTTGAGCTACAGCGGGCTGAAAACTTTATTGGAGTTTAATATGGTAAAAGGACTGCCCTCCTTAACGCCACCAACTCATCTCTGTGAACATTGTCTCAAAGGAAAACATCAAAGAGACCCTTTTCCACGATAGAGTAATTGGCGCGCTTCTCAATTGCTGCAATTAATTCACTCTGACATTTGTGGTCCCATTAGTCCTACCTCTAATGGAAATAAAAGGTACATACTCACTTTTACTGATGATTTAAGCAGAAAAGTTTGGGTATATTTCCTTTTTGAGAAAAGTGAAACATTTGGTGTATTTAAGAAGTTTAAAGCACTAGTTGAAAAACAAGCTGGTGTTCCTATTCAAATGTTGAGAACTGACAGAGGGGGAGAGTACCTCTCCAAGGAGTTTGTTGAATTTTGCAATGAACAGGGAATTCAAAGACAACTCACAGCTTCATATACACCACAACAGAACGGTGTGGCGGAAAGGAAAAATCAAACTATTATCAATATGGTTCGGAGTGTTTTGGGAGAAAAAGGAGTTCCAAAAGCATTTTGGCCAGAAGCTGTAATGTGGGCAGTCCATGTTCTGAACAGAAGCCCCACTCTTGCTGTAAAAGACATCACACCCGAGGAGGCATGGAGCGGAATCAAGCCGTCTGTTTCTTACTTCAGGATCTTTGGCTGCATTGGATATGCTTACGTACATAACCAGCAAAGGAGTAAACTTGATGACAAAAGTACCAAATGTGTGTTGTTGGGTGTAAGCGAGGAATCTAAGGCCTACAAGCTTTATGATCCCGTCAAGAAGAAAATTTTGATTAGTAGAGATGTTAAATTTCAGGAAGATGCTGCTTGGGATTGGAGTGAAGCTAAAAACAGTAGTATACTTGATACGGGTGAGTTGAATCCTTTGGAAGAGTCTTCACAAGTAGCTGAGGAGAAAACTCAAGACAAATCTAATGATACAGCTGCGACTTCCAGTGCAACAACAACAAACTCATCCTCAAATGTGCCTGATTATTCTGTTCCAGCAGCTTCAGAATCTCATGATCAAGGGAGGACTAGAAGACCACCAACATGGATGAGAGATTATGTCACAGGTGATGCTCTAACTGAGGAAGATGCCATGAATTTTGCCATGTTTGCTGGTGCAGATCCAGTAACATATAATCAAGCATCAAAAAGTCAGCATTGGAGGAATGCAATGGATGCTGAAATTCAAGCTATTCAAAGAAATGATACTTGGCAGCTGGTTGATCCACCATCAAATTGCAAAGTCATAGGTGTCAAGTGGATTTTCAAGACTAAATTGAAGGAAACAGGGGAGATTGACAAATTCAAGGCTAGACTTGTAGCAAAAGGCTACACTCAAGAGGAAGGCATAGATTACGGGGAGATTTTTGCACCGGTAGCTCGTCTTGAAACTGTCAGGACTGTTATTGCAATTGCAGCAACAAAAAGATGGAGTATTTATCAGCTTGATATTAAATCAGCCTTCTTGCATGGAGAAATCAATGAAGATGTCTATTTAGAGCAACCACCGGGGTATGTATGTCAAGGACGTGAACATCAAGTATACAAGCTCAAAAAGGCTTTGTATGGACTTAAGCAGGCTCCGAGAGCCTGGTACAGTAAGTTGGAGTCTCATCTTGTAACTAACGGTTTTCTAAAATGTCCTCATGAGCACACTTTATTTTTGAAGAAGGAGGGAAGTGAAATTTTAATTGTGTGTTTTTATGTAGATGATCTTATATATACTGGTAGTGATGAGTTGATGTTTCAACAGTTTAAGACTATAATGATGAATGAATTTGCAATGACTGATTTAGGCAAGATGAGATATTTTCTAGGCATTGAAGTTTTGCAGAGCTGTACTGGAATTTACATTGGGCAGAAAAAATACATTAAGGATATGTTGAACAGATTTGATATGTCTGATTGCAATTCAGTGAAGAATCCTATTGCTCCAGGTACTAGGTTGCTGAAAGAAGATAAAGGAACAGAGGTTGACAGTACTATATATAAACAACTTGTAGGAAGCCTTATGTATCTTACAGCTACAAGGCCGGATATTGCACATTCTGTTAGTTTGATTAGTCGTTTTATGGAGCATCCAAAGGAGAGTCACTTCATAGCAGCAAAGCGGATTTTGAGATATTTACAAGGCACTCAAAATCTGGGAATTTTCTACAAGGCTGGAATAAATGAAGAATTATTTGCTTACACTGATAGTGATTATGCAGGAGATCTTGAAGATAGGAAAAGCACATCTGGTTATGCTTTCCTTTTGGCTGGTGGTGTGATTTCATGGGTTTCAAAGAAACAACCGGTGGTTAGCCTATCCACAACAGAAGCAGAATTTATAGCAGCTGCATTATGTGCTTGTCAATGTGTTTGGCTGAGAAGAATTTTGGAGCATCTTGATCACTATCAGGTTGGAGCTACTGTGATGTTTTGTGATAATGTTTCTACAATTAAATTATCCAAAAACCCAGTTTTGCATGGAAGAAGTAAACATATTGATGTTAGATTTCACTTCTTGAGAAATTTATGCAATGATGGTGTTATTGAGCTGAATTTCTGTAGTACCAAAAATCAGTTAGCAGATATTATGACGAAGCCTCTGAAGGTTGAAGATTTCCAGCGCCTACGAAGTGCTCTAGGCATGCTTGAAGATTCTGAAATAAACTGCTGCAAGGAGCATGCAGTTTAAGGGAGGAATTGTTGACTGAGTCAGAAGATTTTTAGTTTAAGAAATCTATTTTGAAATTTTATATTTCTGTTTTTTATGTGTTTCAGTTAATCTGTTTTCCCACAACTAGGAATATGCTGTTAGACGTGGGTTATTTGGCTATTTTCTAGGAATTCAGTTGTAGAGCTAAGTCTATAAACTTGGCTGTTTTTCATTTGTGAATAAGACGTGCTCTTAGATATGTTTCTATCCTTTTGCACTCTATACAATCTGATCTGAGTTAACATAGAAGAGGCAACCTTAACTCCATTCCCAACTGCTTATAAGAAAACCAAATAATCATAAAACAAATGATATACAAAGTAGGGTTAAGAGGTAAAGAAGTGAGGGCACTACACTGGCATTGCAATGAAACATGTCAAGAACCTTTCTTCAATGCTTACTGGCCCCCAAATTATTTTCTCACAGGTTGTGCTAGTAGATAGATCATAGAAGTCATTACAAATCAGAGGAGTAATCATGACCATGAACATCGTATTTTAACCAGCCCGAGATTCAACAGAGAAGATACATTTTTTGTTTAGTGACTGACCACTTATGTGTATGCAGATTTGATGATACAAAAAGCCCACATCTGAATGACAATACAGTAAGTAATTTAGAGTAAACCTTCAACTTCATCCTCTAAAGTTACAAGCATCACCACATTTATTTTCCAGAGGTTTTTATTCTGAACTATTCCTTCAAGTATTCAAAAAATCATCAAATTTGTCCTTAGGAAGACTAAAGTGGAGAAACAAAAGGGACAAATTTGGTGTCTGTTTTATATTTTGACTGACTAATTTGAAATAAACTTCCGGAGGATTAATATAGTGACTCATGGAACTTCGGATGATAAACTGCAGGGTTTATTCTATAATTTATCGAAGAAGCATATTGTCTACTCAATATTCATATTTCTAAGTGTTCCTGAGTACCAATACCTTCATGAATTGCCAAACATTAATTGGTGCAGCATTGTAAATTATAGTTACTGGACTACCAAAAACATTTATCATCAGGAATAAACATTTGACAACTCATTAAAATATATTAGCCACTTAGGATTTTAGGAAATAGGATCCCTAATTCTCCGAGTCCCTTATTGTTAGTGGCTTCTAAATTAAATTTGGTTTCAATATTTAATGGGGTGTGCATGAAGCTGGCTTCAACTATTTAATCGATACTAGATTTCTATGAATCCGTCAATTAGATGAGATGGGTTCATCAAGTTATGAATGAATTCTGGGAAAAAAAACAGAAATAAAGAAGAGACACTGACTTGGAAACGGAGCAGTCTTCGAGATGCTTAACATTTTCTTCACCTCCCATTTTCTGCAGATACGATGAGCGGGATAGATATAGAGGAAGAACAACTATGCGTTTCACTTGATTTCAATTACTTACGACTCCAAGGAGAAGTGCTTTTAAACAAGAACCAATTAGAAAAGAAAAAGGAAAAAAAAATCGTTTTTTTAGGGTTTTTACTTTCAGGAAAACATATATGAAAAAGAATTAAGCAGTTAAAATAATTTTATTAAGTTAAGTAAGTTTTTATTTTCACAACTTTTTAATAATTTGATGTTTAGTCTCAGATTTTTAAAGAAGAATTAAAAATCAAACTCTTAAAAAGTCAAAGAATTAAAAATTAGTTTAACTCAATTTTATTATACCAATTTAAAATATTTGTTTATTATCCTAATTAATACAATTTATTTTGTTAAGTATGTTAACACTATACTATACATCTAAAATTAATATTAACAACTAAAAAAAATGAAGAAAATATTAAAATTTTGCAAATGACAATTTTTTTTACGAAATTTAAAATAAAATAAAAGTGATATTTACTTGAATTTAATTATTTAAATCAAATTCTGATATATATTTGAAGTTCTTTTCCCCCATTCCAAACAATGATGATTGAATACTGAGAGGCAAAGCAAAGGAATATCGAAACGCAAGTAGCGAAAATGTCGATGAGAGGAATCGGAGGCCCCCTTCTATGCATCGGAGATCTCCTAAACGACGTCGGAGGAGAAGAAGAACAAGGACTCTCTCTCCGTCGCGAAACCTCTCCCTCTTCTTCCGATCTCGATCCACCGCCTCACCTCACCAAGCTCTTCCAGGTTCCCTTCCTCGCCCTTCCCCATTCATTCTCCTCCAAACCCTAACTCGCGTTTAAACGACACTCCTTTCCGTCGTTTCAGGAACACTACGACCACTTGAATTCCGCGCTCTCCGGCACCGACCACTCCTGGACCTCTCTCACCTTGAAGGTATCATCGCGCTACGCATCTCAATCCAATCTCTTGCACGTATTAAACGCAGTTTTCTTCGCGTTGTTATTATTGTTTTTATTTTTCAATCCTTTGTTCAGTTATGCACTGCTCTAGAAACCGCGAACGAGCTTGTTCAGTCTACCAACTCAAATGTAGCGTCCTTGTCGGAGAAGGTTGAGGAGCTTCAGAAAATTGTTAAGAGAGGGGATTCCGCCATAGCAGCGGCGAAGTCGCTTTATTATGTTACCCCTGACAATCACACTAGTGCCTCAAAGTGAATCAAGGTCAGTGAAGTGAAATTGTTCATCGTGTTTTTGTTCATGATATGATTGGTAAGGGACTAGGGGAATTGTTATTATTGTTCTTGTTTATTTTTGGCCTAGTGGAAATGTGTTTTTGCTATGTGGAAAGGAAGACCATCCAATACTGAAAAATATGCACAGTTTTATGTCAAAAAAAATTTCAGGCTTCTTTTTTATTTCTTCTGTTATTATGTTTGTGTTATTTATTTTAAGAGCGAGGACCAAAATAGAAAGTCGATTTGAATATGAGTTTAGATGAACTTTCGAAAGCTTCTCTACTGAAAATAAAATAAAAAATGTTTCAATAGAAAGCTCTCGAAAGTTTTTCCAAGCATGTATCTAAACAGTTTCATAGTATATCAGTGTTTGATATCAATTTAATTTCATGTCCATCAGTAGGCTGTTTGAGCAAGTGTTCTGATTCTGAACATTAAAACAGAAGCAAAAATTTAAACTGTAGTTGATCAGCATAGCATATTATCTACTCAAAGTCACTTTCATACAGAGTATCGTGCAGCCAGTTTCCCCCTACTGAGTGTTTTGTAGTTAAAGAAAACCAAGGTAGTACTGAAAACAGAAGACATGTACTATTGTTTCTTCAATGTCATATCGTATCATGTTGCTCATGGCTCAACCCACAAATTTTGTCACGTTGGCATTTACTCATAAACCAAGAAGCAAACACTAGGAGGATTGAGGAACGTATTATGTTAATTTTGTTATAATTAATTAATTAATTACAGAAGTGTATATTTGATGATTTTTTTTTCATGCTTCAAATAATGGCTGCATTGATCATTGGAGCATTGGCTATTGAACCATTGTTCCTGTGGCTTGTCCTTTTTCTTTTGGTATACTTTAAGGCTTTCAGCTTAGTTGTTGAATTTGATTATTACAAAGATTTTTCTTTTGGTTCTTTCCCTTTTTTGTACCAATTTGGTATCTAAGCTAACATTTATCCCCTTGTGAGATAGTTGCTACCTTTGGAAAGCTTAATTTCAACATCCACTAATAATCTAAATTTGAATAAGAAATAAATCCATTATCCCATTAGTGATAAGATATCTTAAGATTTTTAGTTCCACACATGACATGACTATTCCTAAAATTACAATGACTTAGCTAAACCACAGATTCCCAATTGTAAATATGAATTACAGATATATTATAAATTAATTCAACGATAACAAATGTCATCCCAATTCAACTTGACTTAACAATGACAAAGAACTTAGCATTGTTTGCTTCTTCCAAATCTGGAATTTGGATGATCCAAACTGGGAAAAGTCAAGATAAACCTCCAAAAAAATATCAGTAGGGCACTCGAGTAATGTGTATAATATTCTCAGACTCGTAAAAGAACATAATGTGGACGTCTGGGGAGAATGCTTTATGAGAACTTCAAACTGGTAGTGGCATAAATCTTATTAAAAACAGTATGATTTACATCCATATAGAACTTACAAGAAGGTACTTTCCCCATATTTGAAGTGATTGAGGAAATGGAAATATGATTTACATCATAGTCATCATTAGTGTGCTATAGCGGTGTACTGGTGCAGAGTGGCCATAGTCTGCTATAAAGTTTTGAATAACGACGGCCATAGCAGTGCTAGATCGAGGTTTTTCCTAAAATCCATTTTTGCCTTCAAAACAACTTTATTTGTAGTGTTTTTTTATGTGCGAAGTTGAGATTTCCCTCCTCATTTTCATAATTTAAAATATTCATATTTGGATGTAGTTTCCTATGCTTTTATGTCTACTATGCAACACCCACATTTTTTAACTAATACCTGCCCATCTCCAGTAGTACTTTCTCGCGATGCTCACCTTCCATTATTTTCTCTAATTTGAACTGTGAATCACCCTTCTGAACTTCAAACCCTCAACTTCCTCCGCCGTTTTTTCTGTGTAACACCCACCCTCATTTTGATTAAATGCTTATTGCTTGAGATGTTATTAGGCTCAGTTAATAACTGATTTTTCAAGGATATTATTCACCATGATCTCTTTTAATATTTTCCTCCATTGTCTTTTTTCGTGTCTTTATACTCATTTTCACGTGGCTAAAAATCATGCTATCTACTTTGTTTTGGAAGCCTCCAAATCTCCAATGACCTTTGCATTTGCCAAAACAACCTTAACTTATTTTATTGAAAATTACAAGTTTTGGTTGGTCTCGCCACTAAATCAAGAGAGATTTATTAAATGAGTTATGAGATCTACCAAAATTTGTACCCCCTCTATTCTCTATTATTATAAGCAAGAAAAACATACATTTTTTATTCTTGAATATAAGCAAATTTAACTACTTTTGTCTCATTTAATGATACTTTCATTAAAATATCACTCATTTAATGCATGACCTTTTATTTGCACTTTTTTATTTTTTATTTTTTTATAACAAGGAAAACTTTGGAAGAATATTTTGGAAATAGTAAAATTTAATCTAGATAATTAACTTTCTTAATATGCGTAAAATTAATTATTTTTTTCTTCTTATAATAGGTGACAGAAGGAGTAGTTTCTAATAACTTTCAGCTTATAATAGAAAAAGTGTTGATAGAGTATCGCTAACATCTCTCTCAAATTATAATGTATTAGGTTTGAGATGCTTTGTATTAGATTTGTACATGCTTATATAATTCATTCATTTAATATGTATTGATAAATATTGGAAAAAGAATTCAAGTCTTATGTTGACTTGTGAATATGAGTTAGGATTTGTTGATACTAGGTGTCAAAGTTATTAAAATTATATTTTTAATAACTTTTTTGTAGAATACAAATTTTATTGATTTAACTGTTAAATTATGTGATATTATATTCATGATTATGTATATCAAAATTCAAATAATTTGAACTTTTCTATATATGTCATTTGACAATAAATATTTACATATATTTTAAACAACGTTAAAATAAAGTGATGTGATGAACTATTAAATAATTTTTAATTATAATACTTTTTACTTTTTGATCTAATTAGTAAGAATATTAAATACATAAGTTGAATTGATTAAATTATTTTATAAAACAATATTAAAAATGTAATTTCACTAACTTTGATACCAGATGTTAACAAATCTTAACATTACATGGGATAGGATCTACAAACATCAATGTGTCAAATTTTAATTTCACACCAAATCCCAACCATTCAAACTAGTTTAATTTGACGATTTTTATTCATTAGCTAGAAATCTCCTATGATATGTGATTGTTATTATTGTTACCTCCATAATTATTATCACACCGCCACCTACTATTTTTGTCATTATTACCACAACTATCATGGATATTGTTATTATTATTTTCACTATTATTATCGTTGTTGTTGTCACTACTGCTATCATTGTTGTCATATAGTGTCATTGTTGCCTTCAATTGAATTCAAAGCCATTTCTAAAAATAAAATTACATTTCTCATCCCAATTGCTCTTTGATCATCAATTTTATGAAAAATAAATCACTAGTATATAACAAAGAGTTTTAACTAATAACATGATGGATTAATGATTTATATTTTTTGTAAGGTAAGATATGTTTTTAGTTTCTCTAACATTTTTTAAATTTAGTTTTAGTATGTTAACAAGTTTGTTTTTTTTGTGCTATTTTGATTCTTTAGTTTGGAAATACATTACTTGTGGTCTTTAAAGTGGTATAAAAAACTCTTAAAAACGGTTATAAAAGTATTATATAAATTACTTTTGAAACAAAAAATTATGCATTTTCAAATTAAAGAGGCAAAATATGACCAAATGAAATCGAAATTGATAAATTTCATAACAAAAATGTATTGTATTTTCTTTTATTGATACGATGCATACTATTAGAATAAAATATTATTAATTTATTTGTTTTTATAAAGTGTAACAATTTTTTTCCCATTAGAATATATAATAATCTGTTATATGAGACGCAAAAAGCTACGGTTATCAACTAGTAATCCAATTTCATTTGGCCTATAAATACTTGGAATACAATTTAATTATTTACATGACTAATATACAGTATGTGGTCAGGCATGACTAGCCAAATAGTTAAGTTTTTTGTACTTTATAGCATGATCAGCCAACAAACCTAAAGAATTTAAGAATTCATCATTAACTAGGTTTATATCGACAACGAAAACATCAAACATATGGTTGTTTATGAATAAATAACTTGGTGGGTTGGTCAAGTTTTGCGTCCTACCTGGTGACATATCTACTGCTAAGTGATTTTCTTGCAGAGTCACAACAGCTGAATAAAAATAAGGAACTCTTTTCGACTTTTGCCAAAATGACAATAACAATAACGAATCTCTATGTATGAGATAAAGAACCTGGACATTTTTTACTAGCCTATTTATCGTACATAAAAACAAGAATTGACACAGAAACTCGTGCGTGTTTTCTTTAGTTTTTTACTTTTTACTGAACAAAAAGGTTTATACTGCTTTTAGACTTGGATAAAGAATATACAGAAATTAATAATAAAAAAATCATTAAAAAATAATTTATCAACATTGATTGACACAAGTGATAGTGAGTTATATTCTTTAACTAAAGTATTCAAAGTTTGAATCTTAGTCTTTGAGTATAAAATAAATTGTATTGGGAAGGGAATACACACCTTGTGTACATTCACACTTCTTAACGAAGATTAGTATGATTATAAAAAATTATTTAAATTTTTTTAGTTTAATAGGGATATATATATATATATATATATATATATATGAGTGAAAATTTGAAATTGTATTAATTTTTTTTATATAAATATTTGTGAGTTAATTGATTATAATTTTGAAGTGATTTTTCTAAATATTTTATCTTGAAAAACAGAACAGATGAGCATAGGCTTCAAGTCACTAAAGGTTACGCATAGACATTGATTGAAATGATATCAACTATTTGTTATTTACTTTCCATTAGCCACTATATGTATTTAAAAAATATTTATTTTATTTATTGTACTTTTTAAAGCAATTTTGTTGAACAATCAAGGAAAGGAAGTAAATTTAAATATCAAAAGGGATTTTTTTTTTTTAAAAAGTAAACAACATTAATACTATCAAATAAATACAGCATAAATTTTAAATTAACAAAAACACTGCTGTAAAAAAAATCAACAAAAACACACAATTCACACAATTAAACAAGTATCTGGTAAATAATAATAAAAATCTTATTTTCGTAAGTACATAAATTAAAAAAAAAATGGATTATACTTTTTTGACTTTTAGTTTTCATATGTAATTTTAAAATTGATGCATTACTTTAATTTTCTATTTTTAAAAATTTGTATTAAAAAACTTCTACATGTCTTGAAGATAATGAAACGATATGAAAATAAAGTAATAATTTTAAATTTATTTATAAAATATAAAATGATCAAACTGAAAATTTCTAAATTTTTTAAAAAGAGAAGGATGTTAATATAAAAAATAGTATAGATAATACTAAAAGTGATAAATTATATGTTTAAAAATGGAAAACTATAGTAAAAATATGGTCTCTCAAATTTTAATTGTATAAAAAAAAGTTCAAAGATGAAATCTCCATTGAATTGACTGTCACAGTAAATTGTAATTTAAGGGGAACTTTTGTTTTATATACTTATAATTTAAAGAGTACTTTGGGAAGGTCACGGGCCAAAAAGAAATTAAAGCACTATTTTTCGGCAGTTGAGCTTTCATTTTGATTGTTTCTATATATAAAGCTTTTGGTTTTATAACACTAATCAAAATTAACTCATTGTACTTTTCACGTTTTCAGTCCTTGTCGACCTCAAGTGGATATAATTTATCAATTTTGGTTTCTACATAAACCATATATAAAAGAAGATCCTGCTTGCCTGTGTTCTTTATCCTCTAAAACATACTTTGTTTGTATTGAATATTAATATATGATAATCCGCATTTTAGTTTCTTTGAGAGGGTTTGGACTTTGGAGTGATAGGTGTAGGGAGTAAGGAATTAATTTTGTACTTTCCTAAATATTTTTCAATAGGGTCATACCAATAATGTGGAGTATCATGTGTATCGAAAGAATGTTTCGACCTAATTATTATGTCATTCAGGTTTAAGATTAGTAGACAAGTGTACTCTCTTGAATATTTATCAATATGATCATATCGATTGAGGATGGTTAAGAACATATATCTAGAATAAATCGTATGTTTCATCTTTTTTGTATTGTTTTACAAATGATCTATTTTTTACACTTTGTCTCGATAAACATTTTTTAAGATATTTTCTTTTATAAAAACGTTTCATTACTAACATTAAAATATCAAAATTTGAGGGATATAAGATCTTCTTTTAACTTTAAATTATTTTTTTAAGAAAAATTGTCCTATAACAAATCCATATTCTATATTTTTATTTTATATTTTTTTTTTTACAAAAAGATTAAATATATTGGATGATACAATGTACTTAAATAATCTTATTAATTAAAAATTGCCAACAAAAATATTTTGTTCTTTTTTGTTAGGATTCATGTTATTCAGCGCATGCAAGAGCACATTCCTCAATTTACTGCATATTTTGTATCATATTTTAGTGATGTATTTCTTAATAAAATGTTACAAGTTAACTTCATTTTAAAGAAGCCAATTCTCTGTCTGCATATTTTGTTCACGTTTTTCACGTTTCTATTTGGTTATGATTCTTGTTAATCAGCACATGCAAGATTGGCAAGAGGATTGTAATTGAATTATTAAAAATTAGAAATCAATTCAAAGTCCATATTCTCATCTCTCTTTTCGAGAAATGGTGGCTAACTCTGCTTATATGTTTGTTTATCGCGAAAATTTACATTTCTGTTTCATGCTTCACATGATTAATTGTTTGGAACAGATTATTTAACAGCAAAGATTGAATGCAGTTATCAGTTTATTTATTCAGTTTTTTTATTTTCTCTCAAGGTGTATTTTTATATATATATATTTTTTATCAAGGTTTATTCATTTAGTTTTATTTAAACGATGGGAGTTTCATACGAGATTTTTAAATCTAAGAATGTTTGGTTGACCGAAGTAATTGATAATAGAATAAATTATATTTTGATCTTTTATTCTATTTTATCTTTTAAAATATTTATTTTTTGCCATTTATCTTTTAAATTTTAGGTTAATTTAATCTCTCTAAATTTTTTTTTAATTTTTAAACAATATTTTAAGTATATTTTTGATTAATTCAAGACTTCAAACATGTTTCATTAGATTCATTTCTATGAAAATTACTAAAGTTTAAACAAACAAGAAAAGTGTCATAAATATGATCAAAATCATGTGAAAATAAGTCTAAAAGCAATAAGAAATTTTAAAAAAAAATATTTATTATTTTTAAATTTTTTGTGAGATATATTTTTAACGTAATTTTCATTATATTTATAGTCTTTTGGATTCTTATAATCCCAATATTGCCAAGAAATATATGATGAGTAGAAGGTATATCTTTTACGGCAATAACCCAATTTAGTTATGCGTAATGTGGGTATGTTATTTATGTAAGCCATATCGGAATGGATTAAAATGAACAAGTTTCTAGTCATTTTGATACTCTTAACTATCGGGATAGTCAAGATAAATTTTGTAAATCTTTTCAATATGGCTATCTTGACACTCTTGATAGCTGAGATAGACAACCTTAGTACACAATTGACCCAATTACAGTGGTCTCGATTTTGTATTGTTGTCTTAACACTTGATTATTAAGATAGTCAAGATAAATAGTCCTAGATGTGTGACAGTGCCAAAACGATCAAGAACTCGTTTGTATTAATTGATTCCAATATATGAACATTTGTATGATGTGTGACAATCGAATTTGGTGTTAAAGTGTCATGGTTTTGGATTAGAGATACACTTACTCTTTATCATTTTCTAGATGTTGTCTTGATGGTTTGTTGGTCAATAGTGAGTATGGATTGATATGATGAGTGATGACTAAGAGCCTTGTGAACCTAGATGGAGTTTTAATGTGTGAAGGCTGAGAGGAGAAAAACCTTGAAAATTCAGTTAGGTTTGTATTGAGAACCTTGATGAAATTGATGTTGAAGTCTTGATAATATAATTAATTTTTAGGTTTTTCCTATATGTTCCTATTTGTTGTTTGTTGTGTGTTGGACTGAGAAAATGAGATGTAAGTACAATACTCACTAAATGTATTTTCCTTATTTTCTTTTTGTAAGTTGTTCGTGAAGCAAAGATAAAATTGAACCAACAATGAAATCTATGTCTATTTGATGACTTGATTATTAATGTTAAGAGCTAATTAGGAAATGATGAAAGGAAGAACCAGTTAGAGGTTTAGAAAACTACTCTATAATATTTAATAGAAGTCTTTTTGTTTTAGTGGGAACCCTTCATATTATGTATCAATTTTTTCTCTGAATTTCCATTTCAAGATGTAATCATTTGGTATATCAATTTCTTTGTAATTAGTGGAAAGGCTATAACCAAGTTATCTTCATATGCTTTTGTTGTTCTTTTGTAGCACATTATTTATGAAAAAAATTTAACAAGTTATATTAAATAAAATTTGTTATTGGTTGGGTTTTATTTTACTTATGATATACATTATTATTTTATCCAAGTTTCATTCAAAATTAAGAACAATGTGACCCTTTATCCATGATAAAAATAGCTTGTATTTTGATTTTCATATTATAATTAGTTAATAAAGAGAATTGTTTGGAGTGAAGGTTATCGCAACCACCCCCGCTACTATCATCTCCACCACCACTTGTACTGTTGCCACAACCATCACACCTATTATCATTTTTGTCAGATGACAACAAAGATAGTGGTTAAGGAGAATAATTAGGAGATTGTGATAACGATAAGAATGCTAGTAGCAATGATGGTAATGATGGTGATTATCAGCACCATCATCATTGTCTCCACATGATCACGACAACAATGGGATTGGTGGTTGTGACCGTGAAAATAACTACCACCTTCACCATTTTCTTTAATTATTTATCTCTCTTATTTTTTTATTACATGTTATATTTGTGTTTTTTTTGCTTTTGTATCTCTAGTTAAATGTCAAGAAATTATTAGTCTTTAGACCACTTTGTGTTAATGGTACATGCTAATTAAGACTATGATACTTCCATTTTATGATATTTCAATTAAGTTAAATTATAATTTTGTTTATCCTATAATATTTAATTTATGATATTAATTTTTAATCTTTAATTTTATAATTTAATTAGTTCTTAATTTTATAAATTTTCAATTTCATTTTAACTATTAAATGTTCATCTATTGATCATTAAAATTATATATTAACATTGATTTGACATTGTAACCTCCTACAACTTGACACCATTCACTAGAACATCCACAACCTTAACACCTATTCACAAAATGAATTCAAGACCTTTAGAAAGAAAGAAATGTCACTTTGATTACTCTAGTGACAAGTCTCATATCTTATCACCAAAATAGACATTAAATACATAACACATAACAATAAATATTTAATAATATTTAGATTAAATTATTCTTTTAATTTTAATTTTTATCTTATAAAAAAATAAAAATGATAAAATAGTAATCAAAAGTAAAATTAATTTAAATAATATTTTTCTCTTCAATTGCTTATTAATATTATAATCTTATTGATCAATACTTTTTTTTCTTTAATTATGAGAAGTATAATAACCGTAATAAAATTCAAAGATACAAGTACGTGCTCTTTCCCTGACTCTCTCACCTTCTCGAGGAAAGATGACTATTTAATGTATGTTTTGTATAATATTTGGAAATATATGGCGGAATTGAAAAAAAAAAATGCAAAGCTTTAATTAAGCTTGTATGTGAGGGTTAACTATAATTGACATATGTTAAAATTAATTTAGCCTAAATGAGAGCAGAACAAGTGTAAGTGTTGATAAAATAATAGTGTGTTTGGATCCTAGTTAACCATGTTATAATTATAAATCTGGCATTAATAAATTGTACGACACAGCTCAGTAGTTAGTACTACTACACTTGTCACTTCTCTCTCTCTCTCATGATCATCCGCCATGGACATGATAATGATAGACGACCCTGATTTTCTGGACTTCTCCGACCACCACAGCGCCACCACCCCTTCCTCCCCTCTCATCGACTGGGACTCGCTGGCCGCCCTCGTCCTCAGCCCAGACCCACCCCCCGCCGAAGACTCCGACTCCACCGTGGCCACCTCGGAGGAGGAGGAGGAGGAGGGCCTCCGCCTGGTGCACCTCCTCCTGGCGGCGGCGGAGGCCCTCAGCTCCGGCACCGAGAGCCACTCCCTGGCTCGAGCGATATTGGTTCGGCTCAACGAGTTGGCGTCCCCCAGCCACGGCACCAACATGGAAAGACTCGGCGCGCACTTTAGCCACGCCCTGGAGCATCTGCTAAACGGCGCGGGCACTGCGCACAGCACCCCACTCCCAGTGACCGACACGCTCCTCGCCTTCCAGCTTCTCCAGGACATGTCCCCTTACGTCAACTTCGCCCACTTCACCGCCAACCAGGCCATTTTAGAATCCCTGGCCCACCAAAAACGCCTCCACGTCGTCGACTTCGACGTCTCCCAAGGGGCCCAATGGGCCTCCCTCATCCAAGCCCTCTCCTCATCCCCAGGCCCACACCTCCGCATCACTGCCTTGTCCAGAGGCGGAGAACGCAAATCCCTGGCCACCGTTCAGGAAACCGGACGGAGACTAACGGCGTTCGCGGCCTCCGTTAAACAACCCTTCTCCTTTCACCACTGTCGGTTGGACCCCGACGAAACGTTTCGTCCTTCTTCCTTGAAGCTCGTTCGTGGCGAGGCTTTGGTCTTTAACTGCATTCTCCATTTGCCTCACCTCGCTTTCCGACCCTCAGCCTCGGTTGCTTCGTTTTTGGAAGGTGCTAAGGAGTTGAAGGCCAGCCTGGTCGTTGTGGTCGAGGAAGAGGTGGGCCCCATCGGGGACGGGGGGTTTCTGGGCCTCTTTATGGACTCCCTGCACCGCTACTCGGCTGTGTTTGATTCGCTTGAGGTTGGGTTTCCGATGCAGAGATGGGCCCGGGGTTTGGTGGAGCGCGTGTTGTTGGGCCCGAGGATAGTGGGCTCGGTGGGGCGGATGTTTCGTGGGGGTGAGACTGAGGAGGAGGAGGAGGGAGGGTCGTGGGTGGAGTGGTTGGGTGCGGGCGGCTTCAGGGGAGTTCCCATAAGCTTCGCCAATCATTGCCAAGCGAATCTGTTGGTGGGACTATTTAACGACGGATATAGGGTGGAGGAGTTGGGGAATAACAAGTTAGTGTTGGGTTGGAAATCACGCCGCTTGCTCTCAGCTTCTCTTTGGACTTCACATTCTTGATTCCTTTTCTTGTCTCTTCATTCTTAAAATAAATGGGCTCTCCTCTGTTCCTTCTCATATGTCTTGCAGGGAACAATTCAAACTATGTTTTCAGTTTTCTTTCTTTTAATGATTTTGTTATGTTTGACTGTTCTCTTCTTAAGTGACATCAAATGGATATTGGCTTTCATTGCATGTACCCTGAAATTTGGACTTTTCAGTTACTTGTGTTTTTACCTTTTCATTTTCGTGCTTAGTGAACTTGCTTGAAAGAGTTTTAATAGAATTTATGAAAGTAATTTACAGCGATTGTAGTTTTTTATTTTAATAATTTTTATGATTATTTCATATACATTTATACATCTCTATCTCTATCTATATATTTATACATATAATGAAGATAAGGTTGAATATCTTTAGTCATGTAATTTACATATTTAATTTTTTAAGTCACTTTATCGTTATTTTGGTCATTTTAGACTCTGTTTCAGCTAAAGGAGGCGTCTAGGGTTTTGTCCTAGGTGGTGTCTCGCAAGCTAGAGTATTCAAGAGTGTAATCTGTCTCCTTAATTCTAGTGTTTTAGATCTTATACTTTCTTGTTCATGGGCCTCATAGGCCTTGTGAGTGCGGAGATTTTTACGACGGTTTTTATTTGAGAATATTTGTTCACCCATATAGAGGGGTCAGATCAGCTTCTGTCCGAGTGTACCCATATAGAGGGATCAGATCAGCTTCTGACCGAGTGAACCCATGTTAGAGGGGTCAGATCGGCTTCTGACTGAGTCCACTCATATAGAGGGATCATATCGACTTCTGATCGAGACCTTACACTTGCCTTCCAGCCCGAGCCTACAAGGTGTAGGGGCTTAGTTAGTCATGATATTGGTACAATATCTATTTAGGGGTCAGATCGGCTTTTGACCGGGACAATACAGACTCTAATTTATTTTTTTCGCTTTTTGATTCATGTCATTAGAGATATTCTATTAAACAATGATAAATAGAATGTCATGCCACTATGCTGTCAATCATCCCATGTGTTTTGGGATCAAAATAACAAAAATAATTTTATGAAAACTAAAATAAAAGTAAAATACCAATTATAACAACTAAAATAATTAACTGGGAGAAAAATTAAAATATCAAATTATACAAACTAAAAATGTATTTAAATCAAATTAAAAATCTTAATTTACTGTTATCTGCAAGCATTTCATCTCCTTCTGCCATCTTTTGATTATAGAAGTCAACATATAATTCATAATGAAAAGATCAATCCAAAATTTAAACTCTGTTCAAGTGAAACTGAGTCTAAAATCATTAGTTTTCATAATGTGAAATGCATTTTCACAAACAACAAGGATTGAAGACGAGAAAATGATAGGGACAAAATCGACAAAATGTTCTTCAATGGGACACATCTCCTCCCTTTGCCCCCACAAGTTTTGGAAAATATTTACCAATTGCTAGTAAGTAGTAACTACAAAAAAAATATATGATAAATTGATAATATCAAAATTTGTGAGGAGGTACTTGGATATGGTGGAAGAAAAAAATAACAAAGCTAGCTCATGGTTTTGGGTTGGGGTTTGCTTTTAAGTAGTTTAGGTTTGGGGTTGAGTTGTTTAGTGTGGTTGTTTCAATGATTGCGATGGTGAAAAGAGAATAATTTCATAAAATTTGTCATTTAGTCTTTATAGAAATAAATAATTGAGATTAAAATGGAATAAAAATGATATGTATATATAAGAATTTAAATAAAACATTTTTAACTATAAAAATTAAAATATAAACTTTATAAAACTTATAATATATATATATATATATATATATATATATAAAAAAAAAGCATTTTTTCTTTTCATTTGGACTTTGGAAGATGTGTCTGACCATACTTTTGCTTTTGAAAATATAGGTGACAGAAACAACTTTTTTTTTTTTTTCATACTATCTAAAAGATTTCTAGCTAATCTCTTTTCCACTACTACTATATCCTTATTATTATTTTAAAATGCAATTAAAGCGTGTGTATTAATTTTGTTTAAAGCATCCTCTACATAAAATGCAGTAACAATATTAGCTACTTTTGTAAATGAAATTATAAAATAAGAAAAACGCACTTCATACTTCCGTGAACAAATTAAATAAATTAGTGATTTCTAAAAAAATAGTAAAAAAATAAAATACAACATTAGTATATATATATATATATATATTAAAAAAAAGTAATTGATCTGCTAAATAGATTTACATGCAAATGATGTTTGTATAACCCACCTGTTAAATGGACTAGACCAAATAAATTCTATGTTTAAAATAGACTAACATTTTAACTATTCCTTAACTTTGTTTGATTTGCATGTTAATAAACAGAATGTATTTGACCTCAAATCCATATATACTGAGTTTATAAATTATGAACCCCCACTCCATTTCACGCATTCGATGTAGCTCTCTACCTTAAGGCTTTCTCTGCTTAATTATGATCTTCCACAGCACGCGGAAGAAAATATAGGAAGATCATGAAATTAGGTTACTATCGTCTACATGTGTCTCACACAAATTTAATGAGGTTTCGGTACACTTTTTTTTTTAATCTTATATTGTTACTCTATTGAAAACCACCTAAAGTAAGTACTAAAGTGCATGTCTACAAGTATTATCTTTACATTTTATTATATGGTCACGTGAGAGAAACAATATCAATGTGAAGGAAGAAATATGACTAGCTTAACACTTTCCTGTTTCTAATTTTTTTTTCTTAATTATGTTTGGTTATAAGGAGAGAAATAAGTGAGAAATAAAATAGAGAGAAATAGAATGAGTGAAATGAGTGAATAAAAAAAGACAAGAAATAGAGTGAAAATAAAATTGTTTGATTTGAGAGAAAATGGTGAGAAATAAAAAATAATAATATTATAAATTTGTTTTGTTTGAATGGATGAAGAGAAAATAAATTATAATAACAAAAAAATTTATAATTTTACCCTTTTATGTTATGTAAACTTATTTCTTTTATTTCTATTTATTATTCATTCAAATAAAAATACATCATATTCAAATAAAATAAATTAGAATTTACAATGTATTTGAATAAAAAACCAAATAATAGAGCATATATATTTAAATAAAATGAAGTAATATTTGATCGAAGTATCACTTATTCAAATAAACATTTTATATATTCAAATAAACACTTCCGATATTAAAATACATCATACAACTATTCAAATAAGCACCGTATTCGAATGAGAAAGTAGACAAGAAAAAAAGTGTATTTGATATTCAAATGATAGTTCATATATATTGAAATGATACATCATGCAAACCTTTATTCATCACAAGCTATCTCACAGTAGAAGACCATATATATTCGAATACATCTTTTTTTTTTTTTCAACAACCTATTCGAATGGATGGAGAGGGATAAAAGTGTGAGAAAAAACTATTTTCTGTCTCTCTTTTTGGTTTTCTTCGTATTTCATCTCAAGTTTATGGAGAAACTTACGTACATGGAATTCACGCCTGCAAATTTTTCCTTGGATGAATCTCTTGTTTAACAAATGATGTAACTTATTTGAACGATAATATTTCTTCTCTCTCTGCATTATTTCTCGGACATTTTGTCACAAACAAAATGCTACGATGCACGCATCCTTTAAAAGAATATCATCAACTAATTTCGCACAGGAAACACCAATTACAGCACGTATATACTGCAGAAAGAGCAGGTTCAATCATTCCCAAAACAGCTCGTTACAACCAGCAGTACTGTAATGTATATAAGAGATACATATATATATATATATTAAAAAAAAAGTAATTGATCTGCTAAATAGATTTACATATATATATATATATTAAAAAAAAAGTAATTGATCTGCTTAACACTTTATTATATGGTCACGTGAGAGAAACAATATCAATGTGAAGGAAGAAATATGACTAGCTTAACACTTTCCTGTTTCTAATTTTTTTTCCTTATATTATGTTTGGTGGAGAGAAATAAGTGAGAAATAAAATAGAGATAAATAGAGTGAGTGAAATGAGTGAATAAAAAAAGACAAGAAATAAAGTGAAAATAAAATTGTTTGATTTGAGAGAAATAGGTGAGAAATAAAAGAAAAATAATATTATAAATTTGTTTTGTTTGAATGGATGAAGAGAAAATAAATTATAATAACAAAAAAATTTATAATTTTACCCTTTTATGTTATGTAAACTTATTTCTTTTATTTCTATTTATTATTCATTCAAATAAAAATACATCATATTCAAATAAAATAAATTAGAATTTACAATATATTTGAATAAAAAACCAAATAATAGAGCATATATATTTAAATAAAATGAAGTAATATTTGAATGAAGTATCACTTATTCAAATAAACATTTTATATATTCAAATAAATACTTCCGATATTAAAATACATCATACAACTATTCAAATAAGCACCGTATTCGAATGAGAAAGTAGACAAGAAAAAAAGTGTATTTGATATTCTGTATCGCTATGCCGAGCTTGAGCTCGACATCACAGCGCGGAGTGACCTCGGACACGCGCTAGGCGACATCGACTCGCTATCCAATTAGGTCACAAACTGATCTCGGGCCCAAGGCCCAACAAAACCCTAATACACATAAAGGTACGTGCATTACTTATACGAGACTCATACACCCACAAACACTAACTTTGGCATCGGAGTCTCTTTTGCAAGTACCACCCCCATCTTGGAGCACCAACGTACCAGTGAAGGAGGCTCACCGATCTTACTTGGCGGATCATCTCTACAACAGATCTCCGGTAAGAACATTTGGCGCCCACCGTGGGGCCGATCAAGACAGCTCTTATCGGCCACGCTTATGGTTTTCACCAGAAGCCATAGTAGACGCGCAATAGACGACCAAGATCACACAACTAACATGGATAACGAAGCAGCATTGAGACGACTGATCGAGCAGGTCGAGCAGATGCGACAACAACACGCCGCAGATCTACAAAGTATGCGTGCCAAGCACGAAACTAACCTAGCCACGATGCGTACCGCTAATTAAAATAACCTAGCGGCGCTACGTGCCGAGAACGAGCGTATTCGCACTCAACTCCCTCGGCGTCCCTCTGATCAACCCCCTCAACAAACCAACCT